TAGAGGCCCTGAAAGCTTTTCCCTTCGAACCACTGGATTCCGTGGAGTTGAAATATCTATCACTGAAAACCGTCTTTCTGACTGCACTGTCGTCAGTAAAGCGTGTGGGGGACCTACATGCGCTGTCTGTCAGCGCGTCGTGTCTTGAGTTCGGGCCGAATGACTCTAAAGTCATCCTCAGACCTAGACATGGCTATGTTCCGAAAGTGATGGGCACTCCGTTCAGAGCGCAAGTTATCTCGTTGTCAGCGCTCCCAGCATCTGACAGCGAAAGTGATGTGAACCTCCTCTGCCCTGTCAGAGCGCTGAGGTTTTACATTACGCGCTCCGCCTCATTCAGGCGTTCGGAACAGCTGTTTGTTTCGTTCGGTGGGCGCACCAAAGGTCTCGCCTCCTCGAAACAGAGCCTGTCCAGATGGATAGTGGACGCTATAGCAGCCGCTTACGCGTCAAAAGGTCTGCAATGCCCTCAGGGCATCAGGGCTCATTCCACGAGAGGCGTGGCCTCTTCGTGGGCATGGTCCAGTGGAATTTCTATCCATGACATATGTGTGGCGGCGGGCTGGAGCTCCCCGTCTACCTTTGTCAGGTTTTATAACCTGGAAGTTCCTGCCTTGCAGGCTAAACTGTTGTCGGTTTAAAGGAGAGGTGTATTCTGCCCAGACCTCCTGCTCAGATCACTCTCACATGACCCAGCTCTCCTGGTTGAGCTGCACTAAGTGGGGTATGAGCCATGTGCCTATACAGACCGGCGCGCTGCTCTGTATTCCCTATGTGTGCTTATGTACAAGTGATGGCCCGCGTAGCTGGCCACCTTATTCTCCACCTTATAGGGGTTCCCTGAAAGTTCGGGGCCTCATGGTGGATGCTTGGCGCGCACGGCGTTGACAAAGTGTTCCCGTAGCGTAAGCTAAACTTACGCAATACGAGAGAACCTCTCGTAAGAGAACGATACTCGGTTACTAACGTAACCTCGGTTCTCTCTAGAGAGGGAACGAGTATTGCGTAACCGGCCGTGCTCGCGCCACGAGCGACTTCGCTTCAGTTGTCGAAAAACCAGGGAATTCAGCCTACAAGCCCCTTCTTATATACGCTAAGCCACGCCCATTCTGGCGGGCTGTGACGCTATGAAGGCGCGAGCGCCCTTCATTGGGCGTGACGTCACGCGGGGCTCACTGGTAGGCTGCAGCAGATGCCAGCAGGGCAGCCAATGAGCACGCGAGATGGCCTGCTCTAGGTCTGCTAGCTGCTGCACTGCGTTGACAATGAATACAAAATTAAGGATAATTTTTTTGGCTTCAATATCTCGAGAAGATGAATCTTTCCCGTAGCGTAAGCTAAACTTACGCAATACTCGTTCCCTCTCTAGAGAGAACCGAGGTTACGTTAGTAACCGAGTATCGTTTTCTGAACTAGATCAAGTTGATTCATTGAAAAGATCCAAAAACAAAAGAATGACTCATTCACAAATCAGACATTTTTTTATTTGGAGTAGAAAACTCCAGATATGATAAAACATTATCCTTTTATGTATGCAACTTCATCAATTATTCATGGCTCTGTGTATGCTGTGAAAATATTATTGTAATGTTGAATAGATTATATTTGATTTTATACTGTAGAATACAACACTTTTTATTTATTTTTTTTTTTTACTTTTTTTTTTTTTTACTTTATGACCTTTAGGAAACTTTAGGACTCATTGTAAATATATCAATTACAAATATGAACATAATAGAGCTTTAATTTGTACATAAAATGTAGGAGATTAATGTATTTACTGTAGTGCGTTTCCAATTTTAGGCCAGTATTTTTTTAAATATGTTTATTCAGTATTAACATGGTCAATGTACAATGTACTTTATTGAGAGAAATAAAGATACAATCATTTGTCATTTCTCAGAATATTGTGTTACATGGATTCTGCTTCAGGTAAACTACAAAGACAATTCCAAAACAAGAGGGACACGGTGTAAATAAGGCCTGAAATTTTAAGCATTTTGTTTTTCTTTGCAATTGTAAAGTGATCTAACCATCACAGTTTGGGACTAAAGACCAATATACAGCAGTGATGACTGGTGCATTATCATGTCTTTGGTTATTAAGTGTTTCAAATTATGCCTATATTTTGTAAGCTTAGTATTAAGGAGATGGCTTAATATTGAAACTATAATATTGACGGCATCCGGTAAACACCTTCTGTGAAGTCTGTCACTATCCACAGCTGTTTGTAAGTCAGAAGCACAGTGGAGCTGTAAATGGAAGTTCTCAGAGGACATGTGGATTGTGTGCGAGAGATAGAGTTGGTATGGGGCAGGATCTGCCACCGCTCTAACACAGGCCTGATGTTTTAAAATAAAGCAGGCTGTTTGCTTTGATGTCGAGGGGCCTCTGAAGCAGACGGTCTGATTCAATAAAGATCACTGCTGCTTATCCAGCTCCATGCTGTAAGCTTAGCCTTCACTCTGAAGTGCTTTTCTGAAGGTGAGATGGGAGAAGACCAGGAGAATTCGCTTGATACTAACAGCAGACGTTCTCGATCTGCATCCTGCTGATCTCGTCTTGTGGAGCTCAGGACGCGGTTGTGCTCAGTGTCACCTGCTATGTGGGCTGCTGTCATGAAGTTTAACCTGTTTGGGCTGTTATATACAATCATTTGACTCACTGCGAACATGCATCAACATTCAACAACACCTGCTAGGCACCAGTGACACATTCTGTATCATTTTCCATGTGTGTTTATGAATTTAGTTTCATTATACCCATTTCAAACGTTTCCAACAATATATATAAAAACATTACTGTATATATATTACACATAAATATAACAATATTATGGAAACACTTCACAATAAGGTTCATTAGTTAACATTAGTTAACTACCTCAGTTAACATGAACTAGGAATGAACAATACTTCTACAGCATTAATTAATCTTAGTTAATATTAATTTCAACATTTACATTATCAAAATCAAAGGTTGTATTTGTTAACATTAGTTAATGCTACGTGAACTAACATGAACAAACAATGAACAGCTGTATTTTTAATAACTAACATTAACAAAGATTAATAAATACTGTAACAAATGTATTGCTCATGGTTAGTTAATACATTCATTAATGTTAGAACCTTATAGTAAAGTGTTACCCAAAATTACTGTTTTACTGTATTTTTGATCAAATAAAAGCAGCCGTAGCATAAGAGACTTCTTTCAAAAACATTAAATCTTACCGACCCCAACCTATTGAGAGGTGTTTTTAAAAATATATATTGCATTTTTATTTTTTGATGTAACAAAAAAAACCCATGTAACATTTCATGAAAAAATATAAATGTTTCTAGCAAATATAAAAATGTCTTGCTTATATATATATATACAGGGGTGCACATAACTTTTTCAGTGAGTTACTCAGGTGAGTACCAGGAGATGGTGTTTGGTACTCACCCCATATGTAGCGTGGTCTTAATAAGTGCAGTCCTCCTCAGTGTAGAACCTGTCAATCACAGCTGTCAATCATGACATCACATTCCCATTTTTATAGCATCAAATAACTAACTAAAGACCGAACTTATTTTAAAAAACGAACACTTAAATTTACATCAGCGCGAAAAAAAACTACCTAAAATGACAGAAAACATCTTTGGAAAAAACTAATTTGAAGTGTAATTTGATTGTTTAGTTCATTAGACTTCATGGTGAGGATTTTGAACAACTCACTATAGCTGTGTCAGCCGGTATTTTGTCAGTCAAAAATAGTCGATCTCCGAATGCAACTTAACAGGGAGGAGAGTAAAGATGGAAAGCTCCTAAAGCTTAGTTCCATATAAATTTACGGATAATTTGTTGTTTTCTCGTAAGTGAAAAACAATATTGACCTCGTATTTGAAAAAGGATATAAGAAACAATACTAAAATTCAGAGTCAGTTCAGTTCGCATTCGGAGATCGACTATTTTTGACTGACAAAATGCGGGTGTTACTGTTCCGGCGGACACAGCTACAGTGAGTTGTTCACTATCTTTCTTTTTAGAAAACTCTGTGTACACAAACAATGTGCTCAATGCTCGAGTTCATGTGTAGAGCCCCTGGTGATACTTCCAGCAAAGTTTCATGTTGTGTCGAGCCTTCTTAGTGTTTTAAAAATAGCGATTTTTGATGCTATCATATACGTGCCCCTAGCTCTCCCATTCAATAGGCAATTTGACCGAAAACGAAAATACGGTCAAACTTAAAAGTGGCGTTTCCATTCTAATTATGCTTTTAAATGAAAGTTTGCCTCGGGTAGATTAACAAAAAGACCCTAGGTTGCATTTTGGCGACAGTTACCCTTTAAGTACGCAAAGGCGCGTAATAACACAAGTGGCATTACGCATTTCTGATTTATGTCGCGCATGCGTACCTGCGTACCAGTTATGTGCACCCCTGTATATATATATATATATACTGTATATATAAATTGGCCAGTGAAAATCTTGAGAGTCCTGTTCATAGAAACTCATATAGACAGTTACAAGTTACAAGAAACCATTTTAATTAAAGCAAAGTATCTACTTGTTTGGCATTATGTCTCTGCAGAGGTCATATGTTGGCCTGGGATTGGTCTAGCAAAAAACAAACTGAAATGGTCTAGCAAAAAACAAACTGAAAGGATGCTCTGAGGTTTCAGCGTTGGCCCGAAGAATGCGGCCTTCTATTCATGTGATTGCATGATCATAGTCCGAGAAATGACTGAGGAATTCGAGAATATGAGCAAGCTTGCAAAAAAGACTTTGAGCCCCTTTTAAAGGGGGAAGAGTATTTTGCATCAGACATCAAAAGCAGAGCTTAGGCCTGTTTCAGGATGGAGCTAATAGGAGTCTTGTGGAATGGCTTAAAGTGTTTAATATCCGAGGACGGATCTCATTTGACTGTAACAGAAGTTGGAGGACCCTTCGACCTCAGCAGTTCCTATGGACTCATCTCCTGCAAATTGAACACATTGAGAGTCATTTGGTGGTGCTGATGTTTAATGTGACATGGCCTATTTATTTAGCACTCAAAGTGTATCCATACATCTATATGCACAAACCCATACCATTGACACATAACTATGACTCAATAAATACTTTGCAAGGATTATGCAGGTTTTTGATTGTTTTGTTTTTAGGAAAAAAGGAAAAGTGATGCAACAGGACATTATATAGGAATTCTGCTCATCCAACTAGACAAATATATGCATGTTTACACAGAAACCTGAATATTGTATCCGATATCCTTGAATCTGTCCACGAATCCTGAGGAGAGGCTTTCCAACTGCATGTAGGGCATAAAATAAGCATGCAAAACCGATCATTGGTGGGGTGATTCCTGATATGACTTCCCTTTAGGCTTTTCCCTTTTACTCCTAATAAAAATTCAGACAGAATGGCAAATATGTTGAGAAACCCCATAAACAATCTGGAGAGAACCATGATGAGTTACTTGGTATTATTCTTCCCACGAAAACACTATGAAAAGAGGTTCTGAGGGCAAACATATATAGATCTTCTGTGCTTGTTGTAGACGGTGCTGCCTGTTCCTCATAGCAAGTCCTGTTCAAACACACAACACGAGTTCTGCTTCTGTTTTAGAAGGAGCATAGCAGCTTCTCAGCTCAAAACTCCCTGGCCTCCTCAAACTGTTTGTAGTAGTCCTCATCCTGGGGGTTCTCTGCACATTTCTGTCCGTTATTGGGAGGACGAGCCTGGTTGTAGCGGCTCCAGTCGCCCTTGCAGATGATCCATGGTAGGATGTCCACTTTGTAATGCAGGTCAGCGGAGAACTCCGTGCTGATGAGGTTGGGCGTACCTGCCCCTTTGCCCCGGGTGATGAGCTTCATGCTGTCGTCGTAGCAGCAGTGTTGGGCCGCCAGCGTGGTGGATTCCAGCGTGAGCATGGAGCGGATGCAATAGCGAGCAGTGGGTTTGTAGATCTCCAGCTTCTCTTTCGGCCCGCTGGCGTCCTTCCAGCGGAAGTTGCGCCTCGTTGCGGCATCGTGGACGTCTGCGGTGCTGTAGGCCACTTCAGTTGGGTAAAAGCAGGGGCAGCTGGGCAGGTCGTTGGCCACTTTGCTCATGTATTTCTTGAGGAACTCACTCTTGCAGTTCATCCAACGCTCGCAACTGTCTGTATCTGAGGACCAACATTAAAATCAGGATCACACAGTTAAAGTAATGTTTAAATGTGCGACTAACACTTTTCATATCTCTGATATCTACTATTGATGGCTAAGAATGATGCATGCATCCTTCGAAGGCCGCATTCGAAGGCCGATTGCATCACAGCGGCACGATAAAGGCTGTCCCAATTCGAAGGCTCTTTCAAATGTGGCCTTGAAATGCGTCCTTCGTTTCCCGGGCAATGAAGGACAAAACAGATTGATCTTTCGCAGCCTACCCTACCCCAGAATTGTGTGCCGGTGACGCCAGGATTTTTTTTTTGAGAAATTGCCGGATTACACTTTAAAATGTAAGTATTGGGTTTCAACTTACTCCAACAGTTGCACTGTATAGTTTTGATTAACTAAAAAGACAAAAATTCATGAGACTGGGCCGATTCATGAATGAATCAATCTTAAGAGTTGGTTATTTTTAGTGAATCAAAACTATAGTGTGCAATTACTACTATTATGAACTACTATGAACACATCACAGTAGTTGCACTGTATAGTTTTGATTAACGAAAAAGAACAAACTCATAAGACTCATTCTTTCAGGAATCAGATTAAACACACTATCATGCTGTGGATTCAGTAGTGGTGATGTTGTATGTAAGCAACATTTACTAATTTACTTCAAGAAATATTATTTCTAGTCTAACTGTAGTTCCCTTTCCTAGTCACTCCGAGTTACGTCGGATGACGGAGAATGGGGGTTTCGCCAGAAAGCCTATCATCTTCGAGTATTAAAAAACGAGCCTATGGCAATGAAATGCCATGGGTCTGCGGAATTTGCATAATGTATCTCCGCCCCACCGCGTGGGTATTTAAGGAGAGACACCTGCAACAGCAGATCATGTTTTCGCTTCGGAGCCAAGAGCATCTTTTCACTCCACAAGCCAAATCCTGAGTTTTCTCAGTGACTACATCTCTTCGAGACGAGCGAACTCTCCGGTGTTGGTGTGACGGCGTTATCCAGCGAGTTTCACATTGCCTGCGAGCTGAGCAGTGGTCTGCCAGTCTGTGTGTTCTCCCTGGTCGCTTCAACTTCCGCGGAGTTTTTCCTCTCACTAAAGAGCTGCACGCGGCACGTCTTTTTAAAGACGCGTCTTTCTAAAGACGATCTGCCCGTGTTTTTCTGAGTGTGGTATTCTGATAGATTCAGCTGATGGACGCGAGCGCTGTTTTGAGTGTTTGGGCTTTGATCGCGCTCAGACAGCGCTCGTGGGTGTGTCACGTTCCCTCACTGGGAATGTGACCATCGCAATGTAACGGTCGAGACTCGATGAGCTCAATGAGTGAGAGTCCCCTCATCCACACCCCAATCTATTTTTCTCCACGTGAGATAATACTTCGGCTGGTGGCCAGGGTGACCTAAGAGGGCAGGTTTGGAACTAAACCGACGAAAAATTCCTCGGTCCACACCCCGTCTTTCACATTGCAACCTGCGTGGTCCCAGGTGAGTTCGTCTCATTCGGTCCCCCGGCTGATGAAATCATTTATCACCGCATCACAAGGTGAGCTGGAGTCCTCTAGAGATGATGGCTCGTCTGTGCTCCCGTCCTCGGATGTGCTAGCATAACGAGTTTGATCCAGAGTGCACAGCTATGCTTCCTGGGCTGCCGCGAGTATCGGGCTTGTGTGGAACCTTCTGCCATGTCCCGAGCACTTAAGGCTGTTGATTGGTTTTTGGGGGTGGCGAACCCAAATCCTTTCTACCCGGACGTGCATGAAGAGATCATGAGATCGTGGAAGTCTCCTTGACTTTTCGCGACTGCTCAGTGGCCTCTTCCGCCTTCTCTGCCCTTGTAGAGGCCGCGGCCTAGGGTGCACTGGGGTTCCCCCTGTGGAGTGTTCTGTGGCAACACTTATGTGTCCCCACAGCGCCTCCACCTGGTGTGGTGGTGACTCTTAAGCACCCCTCCAATACCTGTAGGTTCTTGTCTACTCCGGTGGCGGGGACCTATAGAGCTGCGGGGCAGGCTGCCACCTCACTGCGTGTTATTGCCATCCTCCTGGGTGTTCAATGACATGCACGAGGGTAGGGCTGATTCAGGGCTCATCCTTGAGCTGCCTGCCGTCACCGACCTTGCTCTCCGAGCGACGTAGGTGACCGCACGCTCCCTGAGTCAGGTGATATCATCATAGGTGGTCAGACACCTCTGGCTAACCTGGTTGATGTGCGCGAGGCTGAGTGATTTCGTTTCCTCAACTCCCCCATATCCCAGGCTGGCCTCTTCGGCGGCGCGGTCGAGGACTCTGCCCAACAGTTCTCGGCCGCCCAGAAGTGGACTATGGCTATTTTGTCTGACCCCGCGGCTTTGCTGCCTCCAGCTGCCGGCTCAGACGCCTCAGTCCGCTTGCTGCCGAATGCGCCCTCCTGCGACTTCCGCCCCCTCCCGCCCGGCCCCCAGCAGCACCGGGCCGCGCCGTGGAGGTGGTCGCAGGAAGGCGCCCCTGCCCGTACCGGTCCCGCAGCCCCGCCAAGGCCAGGCTTGCGGCGCTCCCGTTACGGGCAGCTCAGATGTGGGTTGCAGTTCTTCAGGGAGTGGTTGCAGGGCCACTCCTTCCCCCGGTGGAGGGCTGAGGGAGAATCTTTTCTAAACCAAAGAGCTGCATCCCATCTCTGAGCCCTCAGAGGGCCGGACGACAGTGCGCGACGCTCCCGGGCCTTGCCGCTCTCGTCCCCCTCTGTCTCTGAGGGCGCGGATGACAGTGTGTGCCGTCTCCGGACCACACCACTCTCGTCCCCCTCTGTCGCCAGACCCCTGGCAGAGCAGACACCCGTGGAACGCTGGTCCTTCCCTGGTCACCTCTGTCAGGACGCGGAGCATGACCTTGCCCCCACACCGGGCCGCTATGCCACCCATGCCTGGGCCGGTCACTCCGCTTCGCTGCCCCTCCGGGGGGACGTCTGTCGTTCGGATGTTTCCGCTGGTTCAGTTCTTGGGAGCTTGGTTAGAGCTTCCCTACCTGTCCCGCTGGGTCGCCCGAACTATCAGGCTCGGCTATGCGATCCAATTCGCACGGTCTCCTCCCCGCTTCAGGGGAGTCCGTTTTACTTTGGTCGGTGGCAATGCCCCGATCATGAGAGCGGAGGTTGCCACCCTGCTGGCGAAGGGTGCAATCGAGACTGTCCCTCCAGCCGAAATGAGGTCAGGGTTTTACAGCCCGTACTTCATTGTCCCCAAGAAGACCGGTGGGTTACGGCCAATCCTGGATCTGCGCGTCTTGAGCCGCTCCCTTCACAGGCTGCCGTTCAGAATGCTCACGACCAAACGCATTTTCGAATGCGTGCGGCCACAGGATTGGTTTGCAGCGATAGACCTGAAGGACGCCTACTTTCATGTCTCCATTTTACCTCGACACAGACCGTTTCTTTGGTTTGCTTTCGAGGGGCAGGCATACCAGTACGCAGTTCTCCCATTCGGGTTGGCTCTGTCTCCTCGCGTCTTTACGAAGGTCGTCGAGGCAGCCCTTGTTCCCCTGCGCGAACACGGGGTTCGCATCCTGAATTACCTCGACGACTGGCTAATATTAGCTCACTCTCGAGTCCAGGTTTGCGAACACAGAGACCTAGTGCTCCGGCACCTAGCCCGTCTGGGCCTTCGGGTCAACTGGGAGAAGAGCAAACTTTGCCCCGTGCAGAGGATCTCTTTTCTCGGTATGGAGATAGACTCGGTCGTCATGTCCGCGCAGCTTACGAGCGAGCGCGCACACTCACTGCTGACTTGTCTTCGACAGTTCGAGGGCAAGAGTGCGGTCCCACTGAAACTTTTTCAGAGGCTCCTGGGGCATATGGCATCCGCAGCCGCGGCAACGCCACTCGGATTGCTTCAAATGAGACCGCTTCAGCTGTGGCTTCGCGATCGGGTCCCGAGGTGGGCATGGCATCGCGGTACGCTCAGAGTTCCAATAACTCCGACCTGCCGTCAGTCCTTCACCCCGTGGCGGAACCTCAGCTTTCTACGGGCCGGAGTTCCCCTAGAACGAGTTTCCAGGCATGTTGTTGTCTCCACGGATGCCTCTGCCACGGGCTGGGGCGCCATGTGCAATGGACATGCAGCCGCGGGCTCCTGGACAGGACCCCAGCGCCTCATGCATGTCAATTGCCTCGAGTTGCTGGCAGTACGCATTGCCCTGCACCGCTTCCACGCGCTGCTCCAGGGTCAACATGTACTTGTCCGTTCGGACAATACCGCGACAGTAGCGTACATCAACCATCAGGGTGGTCTACGCTCTCGCCGTATGTCGCAACTCGCACGCCACCTCCTCTTATGGAGTCAGAAGCTGCTGAGGGCCCTTCGTGCTATTTACATTCCAGGAGAGCGGAACCTTGCACCCTGAAGGTGTATGTGGCCGCTATCGCCGCTTATCACGATGCAGTTGAAGGTAAGTCTCTGGGAAAGCACGACCTGATCATCAGGTTCCTGAGAGGAGCGAGGAGACTGAATCCTCCTCGCCCTCCTCTCGTACTCTCTTGGGACCTCTCAGTGGTCTTATATGCCCTGCAGAGGGCTCCCTTTGAGCCTCTGCAATCAGTGGAGATTAAGTTCCTGTCAATGAAGACAGCGCTCCTGGTTGCACTGGCCTCCATCAAGAGGGTGGGGGATCTGCACGCACTCTCCGTTGACGAAGCGTGCCTGGAATTCGGGCCGGCCTGCTCTCACGTGATCCTGAGACCCCGGCCTGGATATGTGCCCAAGGTTCCCACCACTCCCTTCCGGGACCAGGTGGTGAACCTGCAAGCGCTGCCCCTGGAGGAGGCAGACCCAGCCTTGGCACTGCTCTGTCCAGTACGCGCCCTCCGTGCTTACGTAGACAGGACGCAGTGTTTCAGGATCTCAGACCAGCTCTTTGTCTGTTATGGTGGGAAGCTGAAGGGAAAGGCTCTCTCCAAGCAAAGGTTATCCCACTGGATAGTGGACGCCATTGCTTTGGTATACTAGCAGCAAGGTCGACCATGCCCCCTTGGTGTGACCACCCACTCCACCCGGAGTGTGGCGTCCTCTTGGGCTTTAGCGCGTGGCGCCTCGCTAACAGACATCTGCAGAGCTGCAGGCTGGGCGACACCTAACACATTCGCCAGATTCTATAATCTCCGAGTGGAGCCAGTCTCCGCCCATGTACTGTCTTTTTCAAGCTAACATGGGAGCCGTTTAGGTGTCTCGCTTGCTCGCCCTTCCACTCCTCAGACTGGATACGTGCGATATTTCCTCAGGTGAGCCTTCCTCTCTGAAGGCCTGAGTTCCTCCAGCACTGTTGACGCTGGCGCCAGTATCTATTGCCTGTGCGTCGGCTAGGTGCCTCCGTGTGCATGGTTCCTCCTCTGACTAACCCCCACATGTGTATTTCCACTGTAAGCCTCTTTGAGCATGTGTCTTTCCCTCGGCAAGCCACCTTGCCACTCCTGGAGTTGTAAGTTGCCACCCCACGGGCTGGTCACTCCAGTGTTCCTCCATATGAAGCCCCCCTCGGGCCATATGTGTATTCTTAAGTCCTCCCTACGGGTAGGCATGCTGCGGCATATCTCCCCTGAGATATGCTTCCCAGTGTACCTTGGTATTCCTGTGTTAAGTAGGACTCCTTCGTCCGTGCCTATACCACGACAGGGAGGGCAGACTTCGCAGGGCACTGGAAGACAGCTGTGAAGGTGGCGTGATTACACGGGGACCCCCATTCTCCGTCATCCGACGTAACTCGGAGTGACTACGAAAGGGAACGTCTCGGTTACGGATGTAACCCTCGTTCCCTGAGTAGGGAACGGAGACGTTACGTCTCCCTGCCACTTCCGCTGTACCGCTGGGTAGACGCCTGAGTTCAGTCTCGGCTCCTCAGCGAAGACATGATCTGCTGTTGCAGGTGTCTCTCCTTAAATACCCACGCGGTGGGGTGGAGATACATTATGCAAATTCCGCAGACCCATGGCATTTCATTGCCATAGGCTCGTTTTTTAATACTCGAAGATGATAGGCTTTCTGGTGAAACCCCCATTCTCCGTCATCCGACGTAACGTCTCCGTTCCCTACTCAGGGAACGAGGGTTACATCCGTAACCGAGACGGTTTTCCTATGGAACCTTGTTTCCGCCACAGAATAAAAAATAACAATTGTTTACATCTCGCAATTCAGACTTTATTTTAGTAATTCAGAATTGCTTGATACAAAGTGGCAATTGTGTTATAAAGTCAGAATTGTGAGATAAAAACTCGCAATTGCGACAAATAAACTTGCAAATCTGACTTTTTTTTCTCAATTGAAGACTTCTGACTTTATAACACGCAATTGGGAGATATAAAGTCAGAATTGCATGATATAGAGGCGCAATTGCGTGTTATAAAGTCAGAATTGTGTAAGTCAGTCTTTTTTTTCCTCAGAATCGGACTTTAGCCTATAAAGCATTAGACTATCTCACAATTCTGAGAAAAAATGTCAGAATTGCGAGATGTAAACTCGCAATTGCGAGAAAAAGTCAGAAGTGCAAGTTTATTTCTCGCAATTCTGACTTTATAACACGTAATTGCGAGTTCACATCTCACAATTCTGACTTTATAACATGCAATTGCAACTTTATATCATATATTTCTGACTTTATAACTCGCAATTCTGAGATAAAAAGTTGCAACTATCTTTTAAAATGCTTTATTCTGTGGCGGAAACAAGCTTCAATATTTTCCTACATTTAGGACAGTAAGCTAGTAGGTTTAAATGATGTATAAAAAGCTAAGCTGTATTTCTGTCTTCCCTAATGCCATCTCTCTGTTTGAATAAAAAGTAAAAGTAAAAAAAAAAGGTAAAATTATAGAGCTAGGAGCTTGTTTTGCTCGCTTGGGGTATTGGTTTTATTAGCGATCGGTTACCCAGGTGATGTTAAATTACAAAATAACTCACCAACTCCGAAGAGCTCTGTTGCATTAAACTCTTCAGTGCCAGCAAGCAGACTGACTTCTGTCGCTGCTGTCTTGAAAGCATCTTCAATCCCTGTACATAAGAAAGTGCCATTAATGTTTAAGACTGTCCTTTGGCTGCATATACCACTTTGTAATCTAGGTACAAGAGTTTTCTTGAATAAAGGATAGTCTGTTTTACCGGGGCAGCTGGGCATGTCACATGTCCGTGACTCTGTGGCCGTGCAGGCATAGCCACACGACCTGGTTCGCTTCTGGTTGCCATTTCCACAAGACACACTGCATGGTGACCAACCGCTCCAGTCACCTTCCCCATCTATGTAGTCTGTAATAGAGTCATGAAAACAGTCACATTTCACAAATTCACTGGCACTTGAGTGTTATGACTTCAAGCACAGGTTGTGCTGTACTCCTGTCCCACTGAGTAGATCTGATTCAGACCGTATGTTTCAAATACCTGAGGCGCTTAAAGTCGGTCTGCTGGCCTATACCATTAGCATACCTCTCTAATTGGCTGATACACATGGGAGTGGGTGAATGAATGAGCCAAGTCTGCATACTTTTTAAACAATGTACAAGAACTCCTCTTAAATTTCTGATTCAGTGATGAGGGCCGACCAAAACAGTTACTGAAGTATCGAGGTGGAGTATTCTAATGTCTTTTTCTGACATTACAATTTTATGGCCTTTAATACAGTTTTTATATCCTCACATGGGCGTTTACAGTTCGTCTGTCAGACACTATGGCTATGTGCACACTGTCAGTACAAATCCGATTATTTGTGTATTTGTGGATCTAATGACTGTCCACATTGTGTGTCACAACTGTTCATATTTGATGTGTGTGTCCAGTGGCGTGTCTTTCTTTTTCCGGAATATCTGCATTGGTTTCTATGGCAATGACATTGCGTTGGAAGGGATACACCAAATACAACAACTTCAATACAAAATTGTAAACCCATGGAGGGGTTTACAATTCAGATGTTGTCTTATTTACAACATGACAATGACTGTGTAGCCTCCACGCTGGATCTTAAAATATGTCTCCGATATATTGTTATTTTCTGCTCGTCTGGCACTTTGCAACAACACAACCTTGTTTCTGCAGCGACTTGTCTCCTATAACAATGTCTGAAGTTTTACGTGGCGTGACAAAGTCATAAACAACGTGAAATCCGAGCGTTCAGACTGAAACAGATTTCTAGAAATGCGATTTGAATAGGATTTCAAACCACAGATGAATGTAGCTCGAAACGGATTTCATGCAATTTCATTGCATTTCATGCAATTGTTTGCCGTTCACACTTACTAAAACTGATCGGATTTCAATCGGATATGCACAAAATCAGATTTTGACTGACAGTCTAGATGTAGCCTTAACATATGCCAAAAGGATGCCAAAACAAAAGTGGAATTTTAATAATAATTTATATTTAACTTTATTATTATAGGTTTGTAAAGAAATTCATGTGTAGCCACATTTTATGCAAAGCTATTTTAGAGCATAAACATTGATCATTATTTAATTAATAATAACAATAATTTTAGTTTTGTATATAAATGCATTGTATCATTTAATAATGATCAAAGTTTATACTCTAAACTAAAGGAAAAGCAGCCAAACCAAGAGTGGCTTTGAAAAAGCTAAATTATAAGAACGTTTTGATTTGTTTAACATTTTCTTTTGGTCATTACATAATTCGAACTTTTCTGGTAGTGTGTGTATATATACAGTCACACACATGCACAAACCAACCAAGCAACCACAATCTATATCCACTCCCCCTGATGAGAGAAAAACAAAGAGCTCTGGTCTTAAAAAGACAACATTACTCTCAGCGCCGTCAAACCGCATGGTCACAGTTGATTGCGGGCCAACTCACAGGCAACAACATGTCTGAAACCCACATGAGCCACAGTTCCCTACACACACCGCTAATGGAAACGAATAAGCCAATCAACAGTAGTTATGGCAAACCCTCAGGAATGAGTCACGGCCTCAACAGACCGTGTGTGTCATGAGGAAAATTTATATGGAGAATTTTTAGCTTCAGATTGATATTACCCTAACCCATTGATCTGTGGTGACAGGGTAAGAATGTATTTGACAGGAAGTGCAGTCTCTGACAGTGACACACATTCACTCATTTAGCTCCACTTTACCAAAAAAAGACAGAAAGAGAGCTATATTGGACTGAAGGAACAGATGCTCTGGATTCTCTCTTTCCTCCTTTGATGTTCAGGAGTGTGTTCTGTCACAGAGACAGTCTGTTGCAGGAATCCGTCTGTCACAGGAAGCAATCTACAATCACAAACTCCATAAGAAGTGCTGTCCTTGTTATAGAGACGGCGTAAATCATCTGACGTGCAAATTACAGATTCCATCACCTCACGGCAGAGCCATATTTAAGCTTTGCAGAGCCTTTCATTAAGACAATAACTCATAACACTCGCCTGTAACGTACCGTATTCTGTCTGTGTTCTGCTTCCCGTGCCGGCAGACCCTCTTCGCTCCCAGTCTCCCAGCGGTTTGAGGAAGTTGCTGTCCTCCGTGTTGCTCTCAGAATCCTGTTCATCGGGTCCTTTTGGGGTGGAAGCTGAGGACGTGGAAGATGAACGCTGCCACCAGTTCCTCCAGTTAGGAGCCACCCAGCCAGCCTTGTTTTCTTTGCGTATTCCCTTCTCTGGCTCAGAACCTTCCAGGCTGTCCACCACTTCTATGGTAACCTAAAAATATTTGTAAAAAATATTGTCATATCAACTATGGTAGTACCATCTGATACCATCACAACTCCAACAGTTTCCTTTTGTGAGAAACATTTCAAAACAGTCATTTCATGCTGTGCTGTAAAACTAAATCAAACACTGCAGTCTGTATCGGTCCCTTTTATTGCGAATCTAATGTTTACTTGCACATGTTGAGAATAATCATACAGATCAAGGGTGTTTGTTGTAGGGAGAGAGGTTTTGTGGAACATCAAACAGTGAGGGGTGGTGTGATGTTGTGGAGGTCCAGATGGACGTTGACTTAGGTCATGGTCATGCTCCATGACTCGCTCTGAGAGGCTGCCATTCTGCAGTGACACCCCCCCCCCCCCCCCCCCCCATCCCTCCCATCCCACCCAAACACCCCACAAGTAACACATGTGCCTCCCAGATTGGGGCAGGGGGTGGGCTTCCCCTCTCTAGCCTCTCTTTCTCTCGCTCTCTCCACCTAAACATCAAGTTCAAAGGGCCTCTCAGCCTCCTTAAGACCATGAAAGCCAGATGATGCTTTGGATCAAAGATACCCATGCCCACACACCCCCCCCCCTGAGACTCACACACACACACATTCACTGCCATCTTAAGACATCGATACACTTTATCCTTTCTGCCATTCTTGGTCAAGACTCACATGTTTTTCCATCTGATGTGGATCGAGTCCATGGCGGATTAGTTGGCGGCTGGTGCTGTGCAGGTGTATATGGTTACTGAGAATTGGCTAGGTGAATGTTAGAGGTTGTGTGTTTGTGTGTTAGTGTGAGAAAGAGAGAGAGAAACTGGGGGGTTGGGACCAAAAGGCTCTATTTTTGAAAAGAAGTGCTGATGTGCATCAGGGCTTTCTGTCACTTTGCCAAGATTTCACTTTATGTGCTTGGTCAGCCATGTCTCCTTTAAAAGTCTTTGTGTTTGTGCACGGCAAAAAACAACAACATTTTATTAATCATTATTTTGTCTAATACAAATAAACTTGCTTAAAATGTTGCATTTATTTGAGATGCAAAAATGTGTTAAATAAGAGAATAGATCTTATTTTCTTCATTTTTATTTATATTAAATTCACACAAGTCATATATATATATATATATAAATGACTAATGTGTCATTGCAACATTGCAAGCGATTTGGTAAATCTAAGGAAAACGCATTGAATTTCAGCATCTTCCTACCTGTATGTTGGGGTTCTGCCCATTTATATCAGCTTTGGAAAGATCAGGAAAGTTCTGCAGGTCCAGCAGAAAAGCTCCCGGGCCATCTCTCTGCAGGCTGCCCCCTGTTCCATGACTCTGAGCCCAAGGCTGAGACACTGGAATATGAGCCACTCGGGACTGTCTGTCACCCTGCCCCTTCTGAACGGAGGAGCTGCTATCTGGATTGACATTATTCTGCATGAAACGATAAGAGAAACATTGAAATATGAGATGAATAGTTCTCAATGGGTTTTTTCTTCAGGACCTCTTTTGAAAGTTCTATTTTTTTTTATCATGCTAACTAATTTTATTGTTTGCATTTAGCATCGTTTTTTCCTGCGGTCCACTATCAGAACAAACCTGCGGCTGTGACCCAATTTTTTATGACCCACCAGTTGGCCCTCAGACACTAAAGGACTTAAATCATTTTTGAAAAAAGACTAATGTTAAAGGAAGCCATTCGGAGTGAATCATCCCTCTGTAAATAATTCTTGACTCTTTGTTGTCACACATTCAAAAATTCATCTCAATTATCTGCTTGTTTTCGCCCTGACCTCGGGAGACGTTCTAGAATTGATGTTAGACGCAGCGTAGAAGTATATTTACATTGTGTAACTTCCCAACAAGGGAAGGGCGTCCTGGTATAAATACAGATGAGAGTGGTTAAAAGTGTTCAACATCATTAGATTCATTATTCACTGGTTAAAATTGCAGAGGTCAATTCACTTCTTGATCAGAGGTCACCGTCAGCAGGAGTGCACAGTGGCAACCCAATCTCATGGGAAAACATAACTATTTATGAAGTGGCGATTTCATATGTATTTGTATGATGTGAATGGTACCAAAATTAAAAAACTTTTTTTTACGTATGATGGTCCTGCCCTAAACCCACCACTAAACATAACCACCACTGGGGCATAAGCAGATCATACGAATTAGCCACCAATCCGCCAAAACTTAAAATAATTACAAATTGCCACGAGATTGTGTTGACAGTGGTTGATAAATGGAATAGTGTTCCCTAGCTAGTTCAAGCTGGTCATCTTTGGTAATTCGCTGCTCTAGATGTTTGGTAAGATCGACTATCAGCTGGGTTTTGACCTGGTCAACCTGGTTAGTGCTGGTAGACCACCTTAGACTAGTCACAAACCAGCTACAATGGTTTCTCCAGCATGGATTGTTCATCGAATCTGTTCAGCAGGAAATTAATAAGCAGGCAAATTGAGGACTTTATGCCAGAAATGATCAGAAATACTTCAAAAACATGAGCATCTTTTTCTTCCCACCTGAAATGTGCGATTGCAACCTAGACGTCTTTTAACACCCTTTTAGCCAGCCATATGTTCACGAAAGAGACCTTGAAGACTGAGATCAAGGGAAACAATACTGGTTTCATCCAGCTCAGCCCAGCACTGTTTGTTTACACTGACGGAGATTAGAGACCTCCATTCACTCAATCTCACCTCAAATGGCCTAATTACCCACAGGTGCTACATTGCTCCTTATCACCCCATAATATAAACACACACACACTAGAGACTTTCTGTGAATCTTATGAGAGTACTATAACAATGGCCCATCACTTAAAGCAACAGGAGGGACAGTTCACAAAAAGCATCATAAAACAGATTAGCCTACTGAACATAATTGGGATGAGAGAGATTATAATCTGATCACTTAAAGGCTGGAAAAACAATCTATTATTTCATTATTATCATTATTTGCTGTCTTTAATGCTGTTCCCAATATTGTTGTGGTGGTTGTTGTTTTTCTTTCTGTGGAACACCAAAAAAAGTATATATAGTTTGGGGTTAGAAAGATTTTTTAATGATATGTTTGATCAAATAAATGCAATAAATGCTGCATTTATTTGATAAAATATACAGTAAAATATTACTATTTTTACTACATAAAAATAAATAGTAGTATATTATAAAAACAAATTAAATATTTTAAAATGTAATTTATTCCCGTGATGGCAAAGCTGAATTTTCAGCATCATTACTCCAGTCTTCAGTGTCGCATGATCCTTCAGAAATCATTCTAATATTTGCTGCTCAAGAAACATTTATTAGTATTATTATTAGTGTTGAAAACAGTTGTGCTGCTTAATATTTTAGTGAAACTTATTAATATTTTAGTGTCCTTGCTGAATAAAAGTATTAATATATTTTTTTTAAATAGTATGGATTCGTACTGACCCCACACTTTTAAACGTATGTGGAGATTCCTAAAAAAAAAAATCAGTTTTGTTTTCCTTAAAAATAACAGCATATAAAACAACACAAGCAAATCATGACAGAATCTTATTTTTTTTCTGTTCATTTTTCTTTCAAATTGGCAGCAGTATTGTAGTAAGCACAGATCGATAATATTGATCTAATAACTGCTGTTATGTTTCAGCCATCTGTTTTTATGAAATGTAAAAAATATATTCTGTAGTCATTTTTAAGGAGTTGGAAACGCCAAAGGCGGATGGCCTGGCTCCTGTCTTTCCTTGGATCAAGAGAGGGTTTCTGGCTACAGTCCTGCACTGTTCTACTCTTGAGCAGCTGAAATAGATATAGAACGAAGCCCATATTGCAAAATTGTTGTGCGCCTTGCTGGCTGACAGAAAAAAATATGCTTTTCCCTGTCAAAGAGGGTTGTAATTGTTTTCCCGTACGAATGCCAAGGCATGTGTTCGCTGTCACATACACACAGAGGGGGCAATTACTCCACAATTGGACAGCTATAAGTAGCTTGTAATCATGCATCCTGAGCTAGACAATAAGATCAAAGGCCACCATCAATCTTTTGTCTCTTTCTCTCCTCCCTCTCTTTCACTCAAGCCATTTTGTTTGACTGCCTAAGTGCAAAGTGTAGTGTAGAATGCATTTCGCTTCAGGAAAAAGGGGGGAAAAGTCCAACCGTTTTGGGGAAGCTACTCTGAAACAGTTGTTTTCCAAGCTACTTGATTATTTAAAGTGCCACCCTTTGGAAAAAGTAGTTAGCTAGCCTATACTACAGACTACTAACACTTTAATAATGATAATCAGTGAACAGCTTTTCCAAACTGGTTCGTTTAACTGGCCCACTTAAATGAACTGATTCGTTGAACTTCCCAAAACAACATTGGTATGCGAGTGCTAAATAATGAACAATATGCGGCGTCTAATAGCATGGTGCTAATGGTTTGAAGGACAAAGTCAGCATTACTGATGTAATATCATCATGTTTTGGCAGAAAAATAGACTATTTAAGAGACTCCAATTCAAAATCCTAGAAAATACTGGATAATACTGCTTGAAATGTTTTAATACTAATCAATTAATAAATGTTCTGTAGCCTTGACAGAACATTATTACAGTTCCTACAAAGACATTACACACCATTCTTCAAACCGTATGGGCCTCTGACTATGAAAACAGACACAAGGGTGACATAGACGCCCCCATTACATTTCGGACTACTTCCACCTCCCGCTTCCTCTTCATTCCCTTTGCTTAAGGAGCATGACACCATTTCAATTGGGATCCTCTCAGGGGGTCTTCCCAAGAGACTGGACAGGAAATGAAGGCTAAACACAAAGTGCAAAAGGCTTTCAATGCAACACCTATATTTGCTTTTCCGACTTTATGAGGAAAATACACTACTTCTTGAACTCTGGACTATTACGTAACCAAATATTCAAGTTTAGGGACCAGAATGTAAAATCTTAAGGATTGTGCATTTTAAAACCTGCACTGACTGGTGAATATTAGGACCACTAATTGGGACATGTTTCCCTCATTAGCAATACACTACAAAAAATCAGATCATTGATATCTTTTTTTAATTCAACAAGATATTAAGAATTCTTTTCATATTTTCGACAGTAATTGGTCTTGTGGAACTTGCAGGTTTTTTTGTACTTGCTTGAGCATAAACAAGTGATAAACAATGGAAATTAGGCAATATATATTTATATTTAAGATACATTATTAAAAAAAAACTAATATTTAAACAACTTTGCTTAACAAATTAATTTAACTTGATTTAAGGAAGTTTACATATGGGTCACTCATGGTCTTACCGGATCGTGAGTCGTGAGAAATATTAGATATTAATGTATTAATTATAAAATTAATTTATATAGTTTTATAACTGGGACAGTATGATATTTATTCATTTAATTAATATCTGGTAATTGTGTTCTTCATTCTTTATTAAATTCTTACATTTCTGACTATAACATTGTGAATCCTATAGATTAAATCATAAAGAAATGATAAATAATTGATGCTGTCCTCTCAGGACTGTTTAAAAATTAGCAGGTGCTGGTGTTTCTCATACTGTATCTGTTCATTTGAGAAAAGAAGCTGCCATTAAAGCGTTTTTGTCATCACCAAACTCTACTGCCCCCAACCCCTCTCAAACCTGGTTACGTTTGACACATTCTATGTACATTCCAGACATATTTCCAACAGCCGTGTATGTCATAAACGTGTTCCGAGAAAAGCGAGTTCTGTCCCAAGATTCTCCGCGCAAAACCACAGACTTGACCTCCAGGGCTAAACTGTAAAGACTCACCCGGGATTCATTCACTTCCTTTAGCCACTGACTGAACCGACTGTTGAAATACAAACTTTTAGCTTTCAGCTTCTGTTTCATCATTTAACTGTTCACCTGAATCACATTGCTGCTGTTCCTCTACAAGAGAGCCACCATAGTGGATAAACACACATTCATCATGGTGTTATGCCAATGTTTGCAGACTGACAAAGGCATCTTGGTGTCATGCTAAAAATACATCAAAAAGCCAGCCGCAGGGTTTTTAATGCACCCAACAAAGCCCTGTTGATCTCAAACCCTTCTTGACCCCAGGGTCTGGTCTATGGGAGCGCTGCACTTGCTCCGTAAACAGATGGCAGAACACTTTTAGCTGAAATCTGCACAGACTCATTAAAGCCAGGTTTAATCTCGGCTAACAGCACGAAAGGACAGTCTAAACTGAGAATGTTTTCTGTAGCCCTGAAAGTCACCCTGCTCTCTTTTAATGGCCCCGTGCACCAATGTGTTGAATATATTTGGCTTTCCTGTCTGATTGTACTATACTCTTTTTTTTTTTTATCTTGGCAAATGCACAGTTTGAAGCAAGAGCATATTAACAGGATGCTTGGGTGACACTGATGGACCAGTGGTGATAAATGATAGCCTGCAGCTTGTTAACTGGAGGGAAGAGACCTGTATCCCAGCTCAATTTGAATATGCTATGTGAAAGCTACCTGAAAATATACAAAATAATGCATGAATCTGTGCAACATCGCAAATAATAATGTTAAGGTTGAAGTTTTATTATCACAATGTGTATATATATATTCTATTCATATTTCTATCTATCTATCTATCTATCTATCTATCTATCTATCTATCTATCTATCTATCTATCTATCTATCTATCTATCTATCTATCTATCTATCTATCTATCTATCTATCTATATCTATCCATCTATCCATCTATCTATCTATCTACTGATTTATTTTTATGCATTGTGACTTTAATGAAATTTCCACCACAAATCCTCATTACAGAAATGTCAACAACAACAACAACAAAAAAACAAAAAAAAAACATACAAAATAATGATTGCAATTAATAATGAAAATTAAACCAAATAAATGAGCAAAAATAAATTATGGATGATAAAAAAACAAAAACAATGCAAAACAGCTTTATGGTCCCACAAATAGACTTAATTTTCTAAAGGCAAAAATATAATTTCTTTTGATTTTAGAGTGAAATGTGACCTGGGCATGTCACGCGTTACGCAACTAGAATAAACTAACCTCCACCACTCGCGCGTCCTGCTCCGAGCTCACAGTGTCATTCCCGTGTTGCAGCGGGCTGCTCCGCAACACCGTGATGTGTAACGTCAGAAGAAGGAGTCCCAACAGCAAAAGCAGCTCCGCCGCCAGCCGCACCATCCTTTTCACTCGAGCTCTCTTAAGACCGTGCGCTGCCACCGCTGCCGGGCTTCCGCTGCCGCCTCCTGCCGCTGCAGACACTCCGAGCTCCGGATCCGCCGCGGACGAGGAGCCGCCACACCACTGCGGAGCCACCTCGGGGTCCAGAGCAGCAATACTCACGGGAAAAAGAGTAACCAGCTAGAAATGATCCCAACCACTCCACGTTTGAAAAACTGATCAGATCAATGAGTGATGTATAGTTCCTCGCCTTAATGATATAATCCTGATGTCCAAAAAGAACGTGAATTACTTTTAGGAAACAGAGAAGTAAGCCCCACAAACTCCAAAGCTGTGTACCATTCCATTGAGGTATTTACTCTTCTTATAACATTAGTATTAAATGCAAAAGGAAAATATTATATGTAGAGAGAAGACCTTTTACTTCTTCATTGAGGAAAAACTGGAGTTTTAGGCTACTTGTGCGCAGGTAAATCAGGTAGCATTGGCACAAGAACAAGTCTGAGACCCTGCAGCATTCTTATCTTTGAAAATAATAATAATAAAACACAGAAAAAAGTCTCCAGCTCAAACAAATTGATCAAATTTCAATTCTCGTGGTCTGTCCTTCACGTCTAATATAAAACTTGTGGTTTGGGTACATTGTTGCGCTCCGGTGCGTTGCGCAACGTGCTGTCATCCTCTCCAAACGCCAGTGTGTCCTCAGGGATGAAGTGCAGTTCACTATAAGCCCATCTTCAGTGTGATCAAGATCCAAAGTTCCTCCTCTGACTAACTCATGTGAGCTCTGTCCTCCGGAGGGTGTATGAGCCGCTCTTGCGCAAGAGTATCCACACACACACACCTTCTGCGTAAAAGTGCGCTGTCAAATAACACACGGCACCACAGCTCAAGACTTGTGTGTGTGTGTGCGTGTGTGTTCCCTTCTGTTGTTTCGAGTCTTTAGTCCAGCACAAACACAGGCAGACTCGTGCCCACGAAGCCTTTGGTGTTTTTATATCCCCCTCTTCTTTTGGTTTGCTGTCACCTCCCCTCCCCACCGAATTAACCCTTCATGTCCCATCACACCAGTGCACTCATCAGCAGAACACTTACAAAATGCCTTTATCTGTCCTGTGTTGATCTGTTGTGAATACAGTGGTAATGGAAAAATAGATCGATTTGAAATATTTGCAGTAGAATGTTTAAGATTATGTAAGCTTATTATATAGCAATAGAACTAAAAAAACCTATATATAACATGAGAAATTCTTTGTTTTCTTTTTGCTCTGAGACCATATCTGATTTTTTTTTGTGAAACCATATCATATATGAAAAAAGTCCCTATCTTCTTTTAAAATGGTGATCAGAGCTCTTGACCTTCTTGATTAAATACTACAAAAAGTCATCATTTTGACAATATATTTAACTGATATGTTTTATATGTAAATAAATACAAAAAATGGAAACTATATACAAAGTTAAATTAGGATTTTTTTGTAAATAAAAATAGTTTAAGAAAATGTTTGGAATTAAAATCAATAAAAACTTCTAGACAAATCAAGACTCAAGTCTTACTTCAGAGTGATTGATTTAATTTCAAACACTAATTAAAAGTGATTAATAGGTTGTAGTTTGTAAAATTCTATAGACCTTTCCTTTGTTTGAGTGATTATAGTGCTAATGATCTTATCATAGATTCTAAGCTGAGAGGTGATGTAACAATGTGAGGGTCTCTTTCCCTCCTCCAAATTTCACACTTTCAGGAATGCGAGGACGAGGTGTGCCATGATTTGCATTTGTTTGTTCTTCATGGGTCGTCTGAGAGCACACGTCAAAAAGTGCGACAAATGCTTTAGCTCTTGTCCAGAACTTGTGTATTGGTTGGTTCAAAGGGGTCCACGGCATCAGGTTTTCAGTTGAACCTTGAAAGATGTTTGTTTGGACTGTCTACCTTCTGATTAAGTACAGAACACAGAAAAACAATTATTTTATACTTCACATCTCACATTTCAAAATGACCCGATTTCATTTGTCTAGAACACATATGCTCTCATTTAGAAAGGACTAAGAGGAATCTACAGTCATGGACACACTGGAGGAGCTCAGAATACCTTTGCAGTTAGTGGCACACAGTCTTGCAGTTTCAAAGGGCCGATGCGCCAGCTCACGGGGCCCCTTTGCTGATGGTCAATGCTTAGACAGATGTTTTCTTGGAGCAGCACATTGCTGTGTTGGTAGCAAAGGAGATGGAAGGAGACTTGACATCTGTTCTCCAGACCGGCTAGACCCTCTGACACACAGGGTGGGGGTAAACTGATGGAGAGAGGCCCGTCCTGTTGCGTGTGCATGTGTATTTGTGCTCTTCTGTTGAAATGTGTGTCCATCCTTGATTTTCCTATAAACAACAAGGACTTTTTCCAATGTTGGGGGGTTACAATTCCCTAATGTCAGGAATCAAAGATTAAGTCATTAATCTGGGTTTACGTACCTTGCAGAAATGATAGTCGTCCTTTGCAAGGTTCAAACTTTTCAGTTGCTGGCCTGATCTTTTACCACTACACCACAGCACCCCAAAGACAATGCTAAAGCCTGGATGCTGTAATTCTCAACAAGGATTTCTTCACAATAGATATATTTCAGAATATATTCTTCTTCTATGCTAATCTAGTCATGGCTTTTGTACCTGTCAGACTAGTTAGATGTAATATGAATTGATTTTTATCTCTGAATGTGTTAAAAACACAAACTTGAAAAATGGAACAATGATTACATCACAATATACCGCTGATAGATTTGCATTATGTAATTAAAATGAGAAAAACATATGGCTCATCTCAATTGTTGCAATTTTGATTTTATTAGGTTATAACCATAAGAGATAATATATATATATATATGACCATTTTGAGCAAGCTATTTGAAAGCTTTTTTAATATACGAAATTAATTCTTAAATCATATGCATTTGACCAAAAGAGGCCGTAAAGACTTTTAATAAATGCTGTTTCAGTTGAACTTTATATTCACCAAAAAAATTATAAAGTTTTCTACAAAATTTAAGCAACACAACTGTTTTCACCATTGAAAATAAGAAATATTTGCAATATTTCACAACTTTTGAATGGTAGTTTCTAGGGATGCACAATATATCGGCCACCATATCGGTATCGGCCGATATATTCATTTTTTAATGTTATTGTTATATGCCTGAAAAGAACATTTGGCCGATATATTTAAGCCAATAAATAATGGATTATTTCCTTCAGCTGAGACACTTCAGATTCGCACTGTTCGCCATGATGGTTTTAAATTGTTTGAAATATGATTGGAAAAAAAGAAAAATACAGTTAAGTGCAACATATGCTGCACAAGTCTGTCATATAGGCTGCATACAATTATAATGAGAACATTATAATTGTGTGCTTTAGTTTTTATAATCAGGCTCTCAAAAATTATATAAAAATTTAGATTTAGATTTATCTGCCAATGTATCGGTTATCAGCTTTCACATATAAAGAAATATCGGTATCAGCTAAAATGTTCACATCGGTGCATCCCTAGTTTCTATACATATGAAAGACAAAGAGAGAAAAAAACACCCTTATAAGAGGTAAAAAATAAAGGCTCTAAAAATCAATTCCACAGGGCTAAAATTGTCCCTTTATAAAAAGGTAATTTCTGACGGATAGAGGAGCTCTTCTACTATGGACATGTCTTAGACATCACTTATAGTAGCACAACCTTGGTATATAAATGTTGTTTTCCATCTATTTGTGATTGTTTTCCAGTGCAACTACAATTGCCCCCAAATGAGTCTCCGAAAGAGAACAAAAACATGCATTGTCCGACGCGTCTAGTGCATGAGATCCCACAAATTTCTCACCTCAGCCTTGAGAAATCTCCATCACTATGGTGTTGGTATTCTTGAAATAACAAACATTGTTTCAAACACGAGTAAAACAAGTGCAGACTAGACCTCATCTGTCTGCAGCATTTACTATCTGTCTTGATTCCTCCCAGCATTAATCAAGCGGTTACCCCACACCTGCGGAATGTGCATCTCTGTACTAATTGCTAGTTTTAGGTGAATATTGGCCTGTGTGCAACATAGTTGGCATGTTGAGCTCCAGCATTCAGACGGCACTTTTGGGTCTCTTTCAAATGTAACAATTAAGTTTAGTCTCATCCAAAGCAAAGAGTTTGGTAAAACATGTGCAGACACTACTTTTTGTTAGTTTCGCAGCAAACGAGTCAAAGAGGTAATTACTATATGCTTTGGTGTTTACTGTGGTAAATACAGTTTCTATAGAGACGTTCTGAGCCCGATTCCTCAATGATTCTGGTTCTTTAATGGTTCAAATTTGACGGAGAATAGTCGGAACAGCATAACATAAAATACGTTTTGGGAATTAAAAAGAAACGATTCATAAGAGTCATTACCTCAGGAATCAGCCTACACTTCTTGCACTGCATGCGGGTGCGGTGTTTATTAAAAAGTGGAAGCATTTCTGAATTAGAACTGATTCTATGGCTCTCAATCCTAGTTATGATCAAACTAAATGTTTCAATGTGAGTGAAAAAAATCTAAAATGATCCTGAAAATGAACACAAGTCCTGCATCTGAAATATACAAACAAATGACATGGAATTCTTTCCAACTTTCCAAGCAAACATTTGATTTACAAGTACAATCAGTCCATAAATGTTTCTTTTTTTATTATTATTTTATAATCAGAAGTAGTTTCGTGCACATAACAAATAAATGCCTAACAGTTTAAATTAGAAGGACCTGCAAAGATGCAATGCATGAATGTTTAATGACTGTGAATGAGCTACACTGGGTCTACAACGCCCAGCCTTGTTCAATCTCTTTCAATCAATGTACTTGTGGATCACACAAACACACAAACCAGCACAGAATGAAGGTCTTTCATCAGTCCATCTTAGCAGCAGGATAAAAAAATAGGGCCACTTCAAGGGGTTTCTTATCCGCAGCTAGAGTTTTGATGTAGGTCAGTGTTAAGGGAGTTAATTGTTTGATATATTTAGAGCAGCTTTTGATACATGTTCACAGCCGTCGCGGGCCCTCCCTTTTCCTCACAATCCCCTGAGAAAAAAAAATCCCTTAACAAACTTCACAAAACTGAGAAACAGCAGTTAAAAAAACAATTAAATATCATTTTACAATATATACACATAAATGTCCATGCCTCACAGGAGGACGAATTTTAAAAGCTATTACAAACACTGCACATTTTTTTGAGGGGGAAAAGACTTTTTTTCTTTTACACTGAGGTGACCTTGGTGGCAACACACTCACAGTGATGAGAGTGTATGATCAGCTGTCCAGCTCAAAGTCTGTTTCATCGTACAGCACTGGCCGATGAGAAAGTCTATGACGAGAGAACTTCACCCTGATGTAGTCTCCAAGTTCATCAAGGCTCTGGAGAACCTGGGAAGAGATTAGGCTATTCAGTCAGGCTATGTGAGATATTTTGACTTTGCTATTTTTAAGTTTCTTGTCGGGAACATACCCAAAAATAATTATTTAGTTTCTGTGGCACTTTTCAAGGCGTCGTGTTTGAGGCATTAAAGGTGTTTTGAATTGTAAAAAGGCAATATAAATCAAAACATATTTGTTTGAAATGGAATTAAACATTTGCTAAGCAATTTAGGACTCTATTTAGGTCTGTGAAACCAGGCCTTAGTGTTGTATTTTTCAGTTATTTAAACAAAAGAGTACAGAACTTTAATATCGTCCAAAAATCATAACATGAAAATAATTATCTATTACACTGTATCACATGGAATTTGTATATTAGTATCCTTTTATAGAAATGTTTGAAATACACTAAATGTTTTAGCTTTTTAAATGAAAGTTTTTGATTCGTCTTGTCTGAACACCTGTTTTCATTTGACTTGTCTTGTGTAACAATAACACTGTAAAGTAAGTCTAAGTGTCAGTAAGAAAAAGAAAAAAAAAATCAATAAAGAATACCAAAATAGAGATAGATAGGTCTGTGAGATGTTGGGTGGTGTAGTTTATTACCTTGTCGAGCATTTCTTTGGTATGGGCGGCAGACACACAGAAGCGAGCTCTGGCTTCTGTAATGGGTGTAGCCGGGAAGCCTACAACTACAACACCAATCTTCCTCCTCAACATGGCCCGTGAGAACGCCCTTAGAGCAGAAGATGAACAACATTTTGGCTTGTCACTATGGGTTTTAAATGAACTTTACACACGCGCACACAGTCAAATGTTCTAAAACATCTTGCATATTCAACTTCAGTTTAGCACGATATAATGTCACGATTAATGGTATTGACGGTTTTCACACTAACCCTGAAAGCAGTAGATGCATTTCTATTGCTTGTTTCCTCAAAACCTTTTACGCACTCAAGTTTCCAAAAGTTGTCAATGCTCTTAGTATGACAATCTTCATTACAAACCAAGGCCGTGATTAGACATCACATGGTCATGGACGAGTTATCGCCTGTTTTTTTTAGCACATCTAAAACTCAAAGTAGAAACATTATGCAGAGTAAAGCTGTCGAGATTTCCATTCAGAGTTTGCACTGTCTGCTACCTTTCCTCACCCTTTGAGTGAAGGGAAATCCATTGTAAACCACACAGCTGGACTGTCATTTGCATTAGCCAAGAGGGAGAAAAAGAAATGGATTGACAAGGAGAGAAAGGCAAAAGGAAAGGTATAATGGAGGAGGAAAAGATTGAGAGCGAGAGGAGGAGAAAAAGCCTCCACTTTGTCAGCAGAGACGACAGCATCGAGAGAACAGAGAGGCGACGGAGAGTGAATGCTGGATTTAAAAGGCCTCACAGCTGCCGTGGTCTTTGTTGGTGTGCCAGGAAGCTGTTATCTTTGGAGGAGTCTGAAACGCCTGTGCGGTGATGAGCCTCTCGCATGTCATGTTTTCTTTCTACCTCTCTTGTTTTTTTTTCCCTCACCACTGATTCATGGATCAACTAGACCATCCAAGATGGCTATGATCCAACGTCTTCTTGAAAAGACCACATCGCCTTCTTTGGAATGACCAGTGAAGATGACTGCAGCTTTTGTCGGGGTGTCCTCAAGCAGTCAGTACATTTTTCACATGGCATTCAAAGCTATCACCTTTGTAACCCATTTAAGCCTTGCATTGTTGTTTTATTGGCAGCCCGAAATGTGGGCAGGTTCACAAGTTCAAAGGAGGATTACTGTAGTGTCCAGACAGTGGAAACTGTTCTTAAATCACAAAGAAGATGCACAGACGCGAAAAAAACTCACAAAGAGACGTAATGTTTTGCTTCTCGCTGGCCCGGCGATCAAAGCTGCGAGTTCTCAAATGGACTAAATCAGGTTTGTGTAAATGCGAGCCTGGTGGTGCTGTTGTGTAAACTGACGCTCTTTTATACATGTTGTGCTGCTAGAATCTGTAATCCAAACGGGTTACTGGCTTGGGGAGCTGCTTACCCAACTTTCCCAGGTAGATAGAGCAGGAGCGGTACCACTGGAGAGTCCTGGTTGCCGTAAACGATGAAGCCCATATCCTTCAGCCGAGATCTGAGGTAGCGCGTGTTCTCAGCCAGCTGCCGAACTCTTCGCTGGCCTGCGGGGGAGATACAGACAGAGCCGTCATCGAGGAGAATTTGTTAGCTTTCATTGGAAAAGGAGAGACATAAATGGGAGTCTACAATAAAGTAAAGGTCATGATTTACAACAGAGCAACTGTAGGTCAAGAGGAAAAGTGCAAATAATCTCAAAGTACAAATAATCTTAATTCTCCACTGGGACTGTATTTGAATTGATTGTACTCTGGATGAGAGGGATGCAGGCTATGAAAGTATCGGCTACCGTAGATGCCCTATATTTATTTACAGACAGATTACTAATATTTTTGTACTAGTAAAAAAAAAAAAAAAAAAAAAAGGTAACACTTTACAATAAGGTTTCATTAGTTAACATGAACCAAGGATAAACAATACAACATTTATTCATCTTGATTCATGTTATTTTTTTTAATGTTTACTAATACATTATTAAAATCAAAAGTTGTATTCGTTAACATTAGCTAATGCACTGTGAACTAACATGAACAAACAATGAACGACTGTATTTTTCATATTGAATAACAGTAACAAAGATTAATAATCTTTGTGTTTAAATATCATTAAACACTGTAATAAATCTATTGCTCATTGTTAGTTCATGTTAGTTAATACATTAACTAATGTTAACGAATGAGACATTATTGTAAAGTGTTACATAAAAAAAATTGCAGTGGTCAAATAAGAAATACTATGAAACCAACAAAGGACTATGAACTACATATTTCAACTATAATCAAGTGACTGAGCAACATTATATACTGCCATAATCAAGAATTGTAATGTACAACAGTAAATGATTTTTAGACATTTCTAACCAATGTTTACGTTTCCATTTTGACTTGGAAAATATAAAATCTCTACTAAAGCCGACCACACACCACACATATGGGGGCGATTTTTGGACCGATTTCTCCCCTTCCGACAATCCTAGGTAAAGTTGCGACGAACCATTCTCATTGGTTCTCATTGCCTTTTGGGTTTTAAGAACTAGTCTGAGGAACTCGCAGATTTCAGACTCAAATGACTTTTCAGATTCAAATTAGACTTATCTACAGTTTTATGTCAGTGAGAAAAAAAGAGACAGCTAACCTGTAAGACTAATCTAAGCAGTTTATGCAACTGGCCACTGATCTCCATATAAATACAACATATAGACTAACTAGCAAAACAGTAAAATATCGTGTTTAATTATCTGTGCCGTGACTATGATTCGATCATATTTATGATACTTTGTATAACTGAGAACTGTTTGAATCTGATGGTAATTTGAAAATACACTGAATTGTTGTTACGGCAATTTGTAGCACTCAGAGAGTCTGCGCCCACTCTGCGGTAGCACGAACTCCAAACAGACCATGTCAGGCAGAGTCTGCAAACCATAGAACAAATATGTCTACAAACTAGTCCTAAAACAGCTGGCACAAATATTAGCCAACTTCTTTTCCAGTTTTTTTTTTTACCTCACTGTTTGCTTGAAAGTTTCATAGTTTTTCTACTTAAATATAGTTGAAAACACTGGGAAAATGGCCAAGGAATTGCAACATAATGTAGTGGCATAAAGCCATACCACCAGCAGTTACGGCTCTTACAAAACAGTCTTAGCAATACCTTAACTTTCCTTTTCCTAGGCTACTGGAACATATATATTTCACCCTTATTTCTACAGGTATAATCAAGAAGAGTTTAGTTCCCTTTAGGATATAGACTGATTGTATGTAAAAGACTAGGGAAGGGGCCCAAAGGAGGAGACAGGAAATGACATCATCTGCTTTGCCGTTCAAATCCCAGGATCGCTCTTTTAATAGCCCCTCATTAAGACCATTAAGTAGTTAGGTGAGACAGAGCAGACCCATTCATAAAATTATCCAAAAACATAGTAACAAACAAAAACAGGAAGAAAACAGTGAAACTGTCTTATGGACTTTATAAGTTTTCATTACATTTTGAGGCTCATTTCTGTACTCTCTTGAAAACGCCTCTTAATGTGTGTGTGTGTGGACTGTGGAGTGAGTCGATGTGAAAAACAGTACCAGCTGGTTTTGTTTTGTCAGGCTGAATGGTAGACAAATTTCATTATTTGCCAAGACACTCTTGGCTTGTACATAGGATACAATGGATTTGGCACACAATTGGAGACTTGGGGTAAACTGAGAAGCACGGACTCAGATGCGCACGGTACCATGTGGTTGTCAGTAGATTAGCGGTTACCGCTCCAGACTAGTAATCCGAACTTTGGTGGTTCGAACCACAAAGATATAACTCTAACAACTTAATGCGATTTGAGACACATCAATAGCTCAATGAACATCAATACTTTTCACTCTCTGTCTTGTTCAGTTTATGTCTACCACTTTTTCTCTCCTCCATCTTTAATGGAGTGAATCATGCAGTTCTGAGGGCTGGCCAGGTCCGCCTCCAGCTCTCTTTGGCACCATGGCCTGAGCTTTTGGAAAACAACAGCATGTTTGCATATAATTACCTGTGAACCGATTGGCAGGTATTTCAAAAGGAGGTGTGCTGTAAAGCCAAGCTCAAAAGGCCGCATGTCAGTGGAACGAATACAACCGCTGTTAACATTCATTACATTAGAAACTCTTCAACTGAAACACTGAATATTGGCAGACGCTAGAAAGAGCAGGTGAAGCTCAAACCAAACACTTAGTCATGGACATGGTACACGTTCAGGTCTTCTGCAGTCTATTGTGTTGTAAATTCAGAGCGATATGGAGCATTCTTCGAACTCTCAGAACAGTGTGACTCACCCTCCACAGAAGTGCATATCATGCCAGTTATGACACCCATGGGCGGCTTGTCCAAGTCTGATATATACATCACAGTGTTCAACAATTCAAAAAAGCCTAGAAAGATTCTCTTTGGACAAGTTTGGACTAGAATATAAAATCTACTCGACTTTACTGCTAAAACATGCATTCTTTTAATTCAGCCAAGAGGTCACAACATGACATATCGATCTTCTACTTGTTACACGTTTTCATGTGATGTGAATTCGCAGTCAGAGTTCACCAAACTTTGGAAAACAGCAAAATGTGAAACTGAGCTTGCGTTTCTGGTCTGATTCATTCGCATGTCTATGAATGGAAGTCAATGGAACACAATGTGTAGTGTGACCGTCCCTTAAAACTCTTATTTTGTATATTTTTTTCTGTGTTTTTTTTATTCACATGCAAAACTTCGTTTTTTTGGCATTTCATTTGATCTTCTGTTGACTTACAATAGTTCAAAAGTTTGGGGTCAGTTAAAAAAAAAAAAAAAAGAAGAAGAAATTCATACTTTTTGCTACCTGACTAGAGAACATCATGTGGCACTGTGTGAATGATCATGTGACACTGAAGACTGGAGTAATGGCTGCAGAAAATGTACTGTAGCTTAAATAATTTACATTTTAAAATAGAAAATAGGGAAACACTTTATGTTAAGGTGACGTACTTACTGATTACTACATGTACTTACCATAGTAATAACTGTAAAGTATGCATAATTACAAGTTACTAACCCTAAACCAAACCCTAACCCTAATTGTAACTATATAGTAAGCACATGTAGTTAATTAACATTACTCAGTACTTATTTGAGTAAGTACAATGTAACTACGTAACCTTAAAATAAAGTGTAACCGAAAAAGTAATTTAAATTGTAATAACATTTCACAATATTGGTTTTTTGTTGTTGTATTTGAACTATGGTGTACTGTATTTAATTGTGGTTTGAGTCTTTTCTATCATGGTGTGAACTACAGTGAAACTAAAATGAAACACAATGTCTTCTCTAAAAACATAAATATATGGATTAACGCATATCAAAAACAGAAGGCAGCTTGGAAAAAGCCTTATAACATCTGGTGCCATTCTGCGGACTCTTAATACCTGGAAATATGTGAACTTTCCTTGACTATAGGTCTGCAGGACTCTTTAAGCCGGTCCCATTGCTTTATTGAAATCTGTTTTACATGAGTTATACGCTGTGGTGAAATACATTTTATTTGGTTATTAAATCCATGTGAATCTCTTTCCCATTGGATTCCCCATGTTTAAGGAGAATGTTGGGTAGAGAATTTCAGTGTCTTCTGATATTACAATGACTGACTGGTTTGAATTGTGGGTCTCAATGACCTCTGACACATCAAGTGTAAAGTAGTGCATCTGTCATGTGACGTCTGGACAAAAACAAATCTGGACAGTCTCTTTCATGATTTAATGTCTTAGTATTGTTTCAGTGTCTTTGCAAGGCTTTGTTACTAACCTTCTGTTGTGCCATCGACTCCCATGATGCATTTGATTGCCCTGATGATCTGCTCCACGACAGGTGGGGACATGGCTGTAGCGTACACTGCACTGTGAGAATGAGCCCGCAAATAATCCACCAACTCCTGCAGAAAAACACAACACGTCAATTATTAAAGGAATACTTCAGCCCAAAGTGAACATTTTCATCATTTACTCAAATTTATGTCATATTTATAAATCTTCTTTTGTGGTTCACAGAAGAATGAATTTAATACTGTGCTAAAAAAAAGAAAGAAAATAAATTATTACTGAAATTACTTTTTTTATTTCTATTTAATTGAATTATCAATTATCAATCATCAAAATTGAATACAATTCATTAAAAAATAAAATATATCTGAATAAGGAAATTTCATACTGACTAAGCAGTAATAAGTTATGATAAAAATATTAGCTATTAACTTCCATTTTAACTACTTAATGGTCAACTCTCAGTGTCAATGTTTCACAAGTCGCAGTATGGTTAAAGACAGGTTTGTAAGTTCAAACTCTTGAACACTAAGCAGATCATCCATGAGAAATGTATTGCGTGCTTGTGCCAGATTTTTTAACCTCAGATTTCTTCAGAAGAGTCGAACCTTTAAAAAATTTGAATTTAAATGTCATTTAAAGGGATAGTACACCAGAAAATGAAATTTGCTTTTAATTTACTCACCCTCAGGCCATCCAAGATGTAAGTGCCTTTTTTTCTTCTTCAGTAGAACAAATATTTTTAGCTGAAACCGTGGTCCTCGTTGATTCATATAATGCGAGTCAATGGCTACCATCACTTTGAGAGTAAAAGAAAACAAACACATACAGGCAAAACTAAATTAAAACCAGTGGCTCCTGATGATTCATTGAGGTCTTATGCAGAAATGAACGTTATTTAAAACATTATTACCTGTAATCCACAGCTTCATAAGACCTCAATGTATCGTCAGGAGCAGGTATTATTTTGTTTTGCCTGTATATTGTTTTTTGACTCTTAAAGTGACAGAAGCCATTGACTTGCATTATATGAGTCACCAAGGACCACGGTTTCAGCTAAAAATCTTCTTTACGTTTCTGCTAAAGAAAAAAGACATCTACATCTTGGATGGCCTGAGGGTGAGTAAATTAACAGTAGATTTTCATTTTTAGGTGAACTGTCCCTTTAAAATGACCGGAACCACTGTGCTGTCCGAACTACACCACTAGAGGGAGATGAAAGCACACAGCACGATCATCCAGTGATAATGACAGCTTCTCAAAATTCTCAAATTTGTCTGTTTGTGACTAATACAGCACAAACTGCTTGAGGCAATGAGGCATACAAAGACATTTATAGCTGTCATCAAATGATTTTTTCACAAACAATCAGTTTTGGAGATTGTGCCCCGTCTGTCCTGCATCCAATAAAAATGCTTCTGAGCAGAAGCCGGGGCCAGTATCCAGCTCTTATTCTCTGTCCTCAGACATCTGTATCCACTGTGGAGGAGTGAGGGGAGGGGGACGCACCTCGCAGTGCACACGGGTCTCTGCATCCAGATGTGTCCTCTACTTTGAGGACGTGGGCGAAGGGGTTTTTAGGGGGAATATCTGCGAAGCAAACATCTGCTTCCACTTAGAGTGCAAAATTTGCAGTGCTTTAGGTCCTGGGAGCTTTGTGGTAACAGCATAAGATAAGTCAGTTAAGAGAACGTGTCCGAAATCCACCCACATCTGTGTGAGCGAGGGACTGGCTGGAGCCGTTTGGCAGCTCTCTTTGTGTACCTCCCTCTGTGCTTGTGTACAGTGTTCTTAGTACTGCTGAGAGCAGATTTTACCTTTATTAAAGAAAACAGTAAACCTATGTGAAGGGGAACAGAAGTTTTCTTTGACAAGTTGACAGGTATGACTAAAAAGGTCTGTCGACCAGCAACACAACATTTCAACAGAGACAAATCATAGAAAAATTGTAAAGATTTTTTAATGATTTTATATCGTCCAAGGTAATATTAATCAAATTTGTATTTACTTTTTTTTTTTTTAAATAAACACATTTAGGCAGTGCTGGACCGCCACATGATGTAAAAATCCGATGTGAAAATCGGAAAAACTACTTCTTTATACACTACCGTTCAAAAATTTGATTGAAACCGTTCAAAAATGTATTTCTTTTAAAATAAATCAATACTTTTATTCTGCAAGGATGCATTAAATTAATCAAAAGTAACAGTAAATTCATTTAAAATGTTACAGAAAATTGCCATTTCAAATTAGTGCTTTTCTTTTGAGCTTCAAAGATTTGTGCAAAAAGTGTTAATTCAAAATTAATTTTTCCAAATTTCAGTTTCCACAAAAATATTAAGCAGCACAACGGTTTTCAAAACTGATGGTAATAAGAAATGTTTCTTGAGCACCAAATCAAAATGATTTCTGAAGGATCATGTGACAATGAAGTCTGGAGTAATGGCTGCTAATAAAGCAGCTAAATAATAATGTTTTAAAATATTAACACTTTCAAATAGAACAGTTTAATTTTAAATGGTAATAATATTTCAGGATGTTAATGTTTTAACTGTATTTTTGATCCAATAAATATAGCCTTGGTGAGCATAAGACACTTCTTACCAACCCCAAACTTTTGAACGGTAGTATACATTATAGACAGGTAACATGTTAGGAAGCATTCCGTGAAAACCTGCAATTTTGATTTGACCCACAAAACAGAGCTGGTCAACAGTCTCACCACCTTATTAACAACACACTTAATATTACGCAGCACACTTGTGGTCTCTCTCTCTCTCTTTCCCCCTCTCTCTGTTCTCCAAAGTATGTGTAATTTAAAAAACCTGCAGTCTTTTTCATTTTCAGTCTTTTATAATCAACTGCCATGTCCGTGATGTGGTTATGAAGTGAAGTGGTCTTTTTTAATGGAGTAATGAGATGAGAGAGGTGGTGTTGTGGCAGGAGCGTCAGTGACATTTGGGTAACATATGTAGTTCCCTTTCGTTGTCACTTCGAGTTCCGTCGGATGACGACGAATGGGGGTTTCGCTTAGAAAGCCTATCGACTTCGAGTATACAAAACGAGCCAATGGCAAACAAATGCCATGGGTCTGCGGAATTTGCATGGCGCAACTCCGCCCCACCTCGTGGGGATAAAAGGAGAAAGCCGGCAATATGCAGATATGTTTTTGCTTCGGAGCCAAGATGTTCTCTTCACTCCTGCAGTCTATTCTCTGACTATCTTCGAGAATCTTCAAGACGAGCAGCTTCCAGTCGGTGTTGGTGTGATGGCGTGTTCCAGCGAGTTTCACATTCCTGCCTGCTGATCTGAACAGCTGTGTGCTTCTCCCTGGGCGCTTCAGCACTGCTGCAAGCTTTTCTCACACAAAAAGAGCGTGCACGCGGCGCGTCTTTTTAAAGACGATCTGCCCGTGCATTTCTGAGTGCGGTAGTCTGATAGATTCAGCTGATGGGCACGAGCGCTGTTTTGACATGTTTGGGCTTCGATCACGTTCGAACAGCGCTCGCGGATGCGTCACGTTCTCTTAAGGGAACATGACCATCGCAATGTAACGGTCAAGACTCAATGAGCTCAACTGAGTGAGAGTCCCCTCATCCACACCCCGATCTATTTTCTCCACGTGAGAGAATACTTTGGCTGGTGGCCAGGGTGACCTGAGATGGCCGGTGTGGAACTAAACCGCCGATTAATATCCGTGGTCCACACCCCTCTCTTTAACATTGCAACCCGCGCGGTTCTGAATGAGTTAGCTGGTCAGAGCCGCGTCCAGAGGACGCCGGCGGGCCGGCATCTCATTCAGTTCCCCGGCTGATGAAATCATGTCTATCGCCGCGTCACAAGGTGAGCTGGAGTCCTTTGGAAGTGAGGGCTCGTCTATGTTGCCACTCTCGGGTGTGCAACATAGCGAGTCTGATCCAGAGTTGACAGCTATGCTTCCCGGGCCGCCGCGAGTATCGGGCATGTGTGGATTACTCTGCCATGTCTCGAGCACTCAAGGCTGATGATTGGTTTTGGGGAGGCGAACCCAAAATCCTTTCTACCCGGATGTGCATGAAGAGGTTATGAGATCGTGAGAGTCTCCTTTGACTTTCGCGACTGCTCAGCAGCCTCTTCCACCTTCTCTGCCCTCGAGAGGCCGCGGCCATGGGTACACTGGGGTTCCCCCCGTGGAGTGTTCTGTGGCAGCACATCTGTGCCCCCACAGCGCCTCCACCTGGCGTGGCGACCCTAAGCACCCCTCCAATGCCTGTAGGTTTTTGTCTACTCCAGTGGCAAAGACCTATAGAGCAGCGGACAGGCTGCCGTCTCACTGCATGTTATTGCCATCCTTCGGGGTGCTCAATGACATGCACGAGGGTAGGGCTGATTCTAAGAGACTGCCTGCCGCCACCGACCTCGCTCTACGAGTGACGAAGGTGACCGCACGCTCCCTGGGTCAGGTGATGTCCACTTGTGTGGTCAGACATTTCTGGGTTAACCTGGTTGATATGCGCGAGGCTGAGCGAACCCGCTTCCTCAACTCCCCCATATCCCAGGCTGGCCCTTCGGCGGCGCGGCCGAGGACTCTGCCCAACAGTTCTCGGCCGCCCAGAAGCAGACTGAGGCTACCAAACACGTTCTGACCCCGCGGCCAGCTGCTGCCGCCGGCTCAGACGCCTCAGTCAGCTTGCCGCCGAACGCGCCCTCCTGCGACTTTCGCCCCCTCCCGCCCGGCCCCAGCAGCTTCGGGCCGCGCCGTGGAGGTGGTCGCAGGAAAGCGCCCCAGCCCGTACCAGCCCCGCAGCCTGCCAAATGCCGGGCAAAGCGGCGCTCCCGTTACGGGCAGCTCAGAGATGGGTTGCAGTTCTCCAGGAGGTGGTTGCAGGGCCACTCCTTTCCCCGGTGGAGGGCCGGGGGAGAACCTCTTTTTCCAGAGAGCTGACTTCCCATCTCTAAGCACACAGAGTTCTCGGACGACACGGTGCGCCGCCCCCGGGCCGTGCACCCCTCGTCCTCCTCTGTCCCAGAGCCGGATGACAGTGCACGCCGTCCCCGGACCGTGCCGCTCTCATCCTCCTCTGTCGCCAGACCCCTGGCAGAGCAGACCCCCGTGGAACGTTCGTCCTTCCCTGGTCTCCTCTGTCAGGACTCTGCGGTCTATGACTGTACCCTCACACCGGGCCGCTATGCCGTCCACGTCTGGGTCAGCCAAACCGCCTCGCTGCTCCACCGACGGGAAGTCTGTGGTTCGCGTGACCCCGCTGGTACAGTCCTTGGGAGCCTGGCTAGAGCTTCCCAACCTGTCCCGCTGGGTCGCACGAACGATCAGGCTCGGCTACGCGATTCAGTTCGCGCGGTCTCCTCCCCGCTTCAGGGGAGTCCGCTCCACTATGGTCGGTGGCAATGCCTCTATCATGAGAGCGGAGGTTGCTACCCTGCTGGCGAAGGGTGCGATCGAGACTGTCCCTCCAGCCGAAATGAAGACCGGCTTCTACAGCCCGTATTTCATTGTCCCGAAGAAAACCGGTGGGTTACGGCCAATCCTGGACCTGCGCGTTCTGAACCGCTCCCTTCACAGGCTGCCGTTCAGGATGCTCACCGCCAAACGCGTTTTCGAATGTGTGCGGCACCAGGATTGGTTTGCAGCGATCGACCTGAAGGACGCCTACTTTCATGTCTCCATCCTCCCTCGACACAGACCGTTCCTGCGGTTTGCTTTCGAGGGACAGGCATATCAGTACGCAGTTCTCCCATTCGGGCTAGCCCTGTCTCCTCGCGTCTTCACGAAGGTCGTCGAGGCAGCCCTTGTTCCCCTCCGGGAACACGGGGTTCGCATTCTGAACTATCTCGACGACTGGCTAATCCTAGCTCACTCTCGAGACCAGCTATGCGAACACAGGGACTTGGTGCTCCGCCATGTAGCTCGTCTGGGCCTTCGGGTCAACTGGGAGAAGAGCAAACTTTGCCCCGTGCAGAGGATCTCTTTTCTCGGTATGGAGATCGACTCGGTCGCCATGTCCGCGCAGCTTACGAGCGAGCGCGCGCAGTCACTGCTGACTTGCCTGAGACAGTTCGAGGGCAAGAGTGCGGTTCCACTGAAACTTTTTCAGAGGCTCCTGGGGCATATGGCATCCGCAGCCGTGGCAACACCGCTCGGATTACTTCATATGAGACCGCTTCAGCTTTGCGACCGAGTCCCGAGGTGGGCATGGCAACACGGCACTCTCCGAGTACCAGTTACTCCGACCTGCCGTCAGACCTTCACCCCGTGGTCGAACCTCAGTTTTCTACGGGCCGGTGTGCCCCTGGAACGAGCTTCCCGGCACGTTGTTGTAACAACAGATGCCTCCGCCACGGGCTGGGGTGCCATGTGCAATGGACGTGCTGCCGCGGGCTCCTGGACAGGACCCCACCGCCTTTGGCACGTCAATTGCCTCGAGTTGCTGGCTGTACAGCTCGCCCTGCGCCGCTTCCGAGCCGTGCTCTCGGGCCAGCATGTACTAGTCCGATCAGACAATACCGCGACTGTAGCGTACATCAACCGTCAAGGTGGTCTGCGCTCTCGCCGTATGTCGCAACTCGCCCGCCACCTCCTATTTTGGAGTCAGAAGCATCTGAGGTCGCTTCGTGCCATCTATATTCCAGGAGCTCTGAACTGTGCAGCCGACGAGCTCTCACGGTTTCAGCCCCTCCCGGGAGATTGGCGACTCCATCCCCAGTCGGTTCAGCTGATTTGGGACCAGTTCGGGGACGCACAGATAGATCTGTTTGCCTCTCACGACTCGACCCATTGCGCCCTGTATTATTCCCTGACCGAGGGCACGCTCGGCACGGATGCACTGGCGCACAGCTGGCCGCGGGGCTGCAAATATGCGTTTCCCCCAGTGAGCCTCCTTGCGCAGACCCTGCGCAAGGTCAGGGAGGACGAGGAGCAGGTCACCTTGGTAGCGCCGTACTGGCCCACCCGGACCTGGTTCTCCGAACTTGTACTCCTCGCGACAGCACCTCCTTGGCCCATACCTCTGAGGAAGGACCTACTTTCTCAGGGACGGGGCACCCTATGGCACCCTCGTCCCGATCTTTGGAACCTCCATGTGTGGCTCCTGGACGGGACGAGGCAGGTTTGAGTACCCTACCACCAGCGGTGGTGGCTACCATTACTTCCGCTAGAGCGTCGTCCACGAGACACGTCTATGCGTTGAAGTGGAACCTCTTCGTCAACTGGTGCTCTTCTCACCGAGAAGACCCCCGGAGATGTTCGATCAACGTCGTGCTTTCCTTCCTTCAAGAGGGGTTGGAGCGAAGGCTGTCTCCCTCCACCCTCAAGGTCTATGTCGCCGCTATTGCCGCACAGCATGATCTTATAGAAGGTAAGTCGGTGGGGAAGCATGACCTGATCGTCAGGTTCCTGAGAGGAGCTAGGAGACTGAATCCTCCTCGCCCTCCTCTCGTACCCTCTTGGGACCTCGCAGTGGTCTTAACCGCCCTGCGTAGTGCTCCCTTTGAGCCTTTACAGTCAGTCGAGCTTAACTTCCTGTCAATGAAGACGGCGCTTCTGACTGCATTGGCCTCCATCAAGAGGGTAGGGGACCTGCACGCATTCTCCGTTGACGAAGCATGCCTGGAATTCGGGCCGGCGTACTCTCACGTGATCCTGAGACCCCGGCCTGGATATGTGCCCAAGGTTCCTACCACTCCCTTCCGGGACCAGGTGGTGAACCTGCAAGCGCTGCCCCCGGAGGAGGCAGACCCAGCCTTGGCATTGCTCTGTCCAGTACGTGCTCTTCGCATCTATGTAGACAGAACGCAGTGTTCAGGACCTCAGACCAGCTCTTTGTCTGTTATGGTGGGAAGCTGAAGGGAAAGGCTCTCTCCAAGCAAAGGTTGTCTCACTGGATAGTGGACGCCATTGCTTTGGCATACCAGCAGCAAGGTCGACCGTGCCCCCTTGGTGTGACTGCCCACTCCACCCGGAGTGTGGCATCCTCTTGGGCTCTAGCGCATGGCGCCTAGCTAACAGACATCTGCAGAGTTGCAGGCTGGGCGACACCTAACACATTCGCCAGATTCTACAATCTCCGAGTGGAGCCTGTGTCCTCTCATGTACTCGCTTCAACCAGCTAGTACCGGACCCGCTCAGGTGTCTTCGCTTGCTCGCCATTCCACTCTACAGACTGGATACGTGCGATATTCTCCTCAGGTGAGCTTCTCCGAAAGCCCTGAGTTCCTCCAGCACTCCTGACGTCGGCGCCAGTGTCTCTTGCCTGCGCGTCGGCTAGGTGCCTCCCGTGTGCATGGTACCTCCCGGAGCTACCCCCACATGTGTATTCCCACTGTAAGCCTCTCTGAGCATGTGTTCTCCTTTTATCCCCACGAGGTGGGGCGGAGTTGCGCCATGCAAATTCCGCAGACCCATGGCATTTGTTTGCCATTGGCTCGTTTTGTATACTCGAAGTCGATAGGCTTTCTAAGCGAAACCCCCATTCGTCGTCATCCGACGGAACGTCTCCGTTCCCTACTCAGGGAACGAGGGTTACATCCGTAACCGAGACGTTTCACATCATGAAATGAGACCATGTGTGTGCGCTTGAAAAAGACAGGAAGGGAGGATGGAGTGCATGCTGGTGCATTGTGCATTTCTGCACCACGAGCGTCACCAAACGACAAACAGTAGCTCAACGGGCTGAATTTCTGTAAAACATTGGGCTGATTTCGTGCCTCAGGAAATGCTTTGTTAAAAGGCCCTTGATAGTAAAGTATTACATGATGCCTACCTTTTTGCCAGCTATGTATCCGCCAGCAGCCCCGAAGCTCTTAGTGAAGGTGCCCATCAGAACGTCCACTTCATTGGGGTCCACTCCAAAATGTTCTGTAACTCCCCGACCTGTGGCGCCCACGGCCCCGATGCTATGGGCCTCATCGAGGTACAGATAAGCCTTGTACTTCTTCTTTAGTGCTAAGATCTCTGGCAGCCTGACAAGAGAGCCTTCCATACTGAAAGAAATGGACAAAATGATTTAAGTTAAAATGTGTGCAAGAAAAGTTAGAAGTCAAATCACTGAAATAGGCAAATATGTATACATCATTTTAATTATTAAAATATTTCAACTGTATTATTATTGTGTATATATAATATTAAATATTATAATAAAAACTGATAAATAGATACACATAAAAAATACATATACATTTTTTTTTTTAGTTTTCATAATCCATCAACTTGAAAATACCTACCATCAAAACTACTATACAGTAACACGTCTCTACTACTTGGCAGATATTACTGAAACAGGTGTCCTGAAAAATCACACCTGTCTCAGATACGGCACTAGGCACTGTAAATGTTTTGATCTGGTTGCAAGTTTGTGACTCGTTTAAAATCTTCTATAATCGTGTGTGAATTTCATATAAAGTTTATGAACCTTCAGTGTTCACGTCACAGCCCACTGAGCACAGATTTATGCAATAAATGACCTTACAACAAGGGTTATCAATGCTCACGAGGCTGGAAAGACTTTGGCCTCAATAAACCAACAATCAGACAGGCAGTGTCCAAATGCGTGACATTACACATCAGAAAAACTCAAAGAAACAACAGTGATAAAGAGGCATAGACCATTTCATTATCTCCACTGCAGCCAAAGTAGATGCCACTGGTTATTAAATCCAAAACATTGTAGCTGTTCTCCAACAATGATAGTAAATGGCAGATTTTTGTTTTTGTATTATTTAATTTACTTTCTGCTACTTTGTGAAGCAATTTGAGCTATAATTTTGTAGGAAAGGAATGTTATTCATTTGCAGTTACATCCTCTTTCATTTGACGAAGCTGCTTACATTAAGGCTGGAGTGAATATGATTGTAAACATTCACCTGTAGATGCCCTCCACCATGATGAGAATCTTCTTCCAAGAGCGATGGGTACGGGGTTGCCCTGAGCAAATCGCTTCCTTCAGCAGCTTTTCTAGACTCTGCATGTCTGCAACCAAACACAAAACAGGCACGTTATGACACAATCAGGTATTAACAGAAATACACACGGTTTGATGGTATTTTACCTAAACCAAACAAAAAAACAACAACTTATTTTTAGGTCTTCCCAAAACAAAATAAGAAGGATACGCTCATAAATGTTAAGTGGTTGGATACAATACATTTTTACGTGGCAGTCATGAGCAGAGGAAATTTACTTCTATGAAATCACCTTTAGAAATATATATGGCTGTAATATTACATCACTAGCTCTATTCCAAATGACAAACAACCGAACATGCTTGTTTAGATGTTCTAGTATGTGGCCAACACGTTTTGTTCTTAGATATATAGAAACAGTGTTTCTCAATCCTCTTTCTGGAGAGACCTGATTTAAAGTCCCTGTGGTGAAAAATTAAGCTTTTAATGTTTTTTATATGTCTATGTGGTGTTTTAATATGCTTTAAGACAAACCATGCGCAAATTCATAAGTCAACACCATTGCAGCAGCATTTTCTCCTTAAAACTGCAGTGAACCAAAGACAGTCTCAAAAACGGGGTTTGAAATCGCTGGCGTCTCTGACGTCACAAACTGCCTTGTAACCAATCACGTCAACGTGTGATCATCAACGAGTGGATCTCTGAGCTGGTGTGAGTGAGTGGAGGCGGGGCTAATTTGCATATTCATAGAACAGCGTTTACTTAATTGAGGTAAGGATGTAGAGTTACATTCAAGCTATTTTAAGACATAAAGAAAGGAAAGGAAAAAAACTTTTAAATATGTCATTTTGGTGATCAAAGATGAGTTTTAAGGGATAAAATTATGGACTTTAAATGTGTCCGATTACTGAGACACAATCTGGCAGTGATGCCAGACCTTGCTAGAAAAATAAGCAATATGGTCTGGCAAAATAAACCCAAAAATAAGTGACCTACCTCACCAAAATAAGCCTAATTTGCTTTTGGGAGTGTGAGGGTGTTTATGGATCAAGGAGAATTGCTTGAGTTCAATGACATGATTTATTTTGGCATAAACATTAACCATGGCTAAATTGCATCTTACTACAAAACAACAGCCTTTCCAATAATTGTATCCTAGGGGAGGGGTTGGAAAAGGCTGAAACATGGAAAGAAAAGGGAAATAAATAACAGTGATCAATAGCGATCTTATGTAAAACGGAGCTCTAAAGGCATATTGGTTGGTCATATTTTATTGTGTAAGTTCAAATGTGTGACTGTGACCCCCCCCCCCACTAGCTATAGTCACTTAAGATAGTCAGACATGGCAACACTACAAACTAGCCAACAGATGGCAGAGTTGAACTGCAAAATCAAAGACAATTTAAAAAAGGTTTGATTCTGGCCTGTGTCTCATCCTGATCTCATTCATCTTCTCTCTTACTCTAAAAACTTCCAGCCTTCTCTACTGTCTCTATGAATAAAAAGTGACGCAAAGCCCAAAGAAAAGAATGTCTCTTATCAAAGTGGCCTCATTTCAAACAGGTGAACGTATTTAGGCCAGTGAAGGCCAATGTGGACGCGGCCTGCTTTCACTACCCATGCAGTCCTGAAATACTACACTCACCTAAACAGATCTGCCAAAGGTTTCAGGTTAAGAACAACTATAAGAAGAAGAATTGACAAGTGAAATGTAGTACTAGATGAAACAAGGCGTGGAGGGATTAATGTCAAACTATGTTTGGTTAAATCTTTGTTTACTTGTGTGTTAAGTTATCACTAGTTTATTCAATATGACAATGGCAGTATTTGCAGCTTGGTTATACAGGTTTTGAGCCAGAATAATTGAGCTTATAATACAATAAACATATTCGGTGTGCAGTGGAAACCTACCCACTCACTACCCACAGTCACTTTGACATGTACAAAACGGCAATAATCATTATTCAAAACTATGTGCAGCTTTCAAATGAAACTAAAAAAAAAAAAAAAAATCCACATTCGGTGTACCATATTTTTACAGTTGCAATCTTTTCCCTAGGAAAATCCAAGTGTTCAAGCAAATGCTTATGTAATTGAAAAACTAACCAGAAGCCAAAACACAGGCCTTAATATTCCCAATGTCAGCAGCACATTCAGAGCATTTGAACAAATTGAGTCTGTTTGCATTCAAATCTGCAAATGAGCAAGCTGACATCAACCAGAGAAACAGAGATAAATAATATCTACCTTCCTGCAGAATTTATGCTGTTTTTCATATCAAGTTGGATGTGGAATTTTCCAACTTCTGACCATTGCGTAATCCTCAGAGGATGACGGATAAAGAATCAAAATGGCAATGCTAGCGTTAGTGTGGTAGATATTTGTCAACAAACATGTCCTAACAATCAAAATGCGCGTGATACATTCATTGTTATGCAATGACATTTATTCTGCAGGTGTACAGGTATCAACAGAGAATCATACCATATTTTACGCCCCTGTCTCTGCAAATGCTTACTAAACAGGTTTGAATTATCATATAATTATGAACGTTGACTAATTGATGCATTTCATTTCCTTCAAAGTAAACGTTTATCATTAACTCATCATATCCGCCCATGTTACACCATACACTCTCAATGAAATCAGATCTCTGAGATTCCAAGTTGACCTCAAGTGACCTTCTATAGTTCTGACCCTAATCAAATACACCTGAGCCAGCTTATCAAGTGCGATGCAGTCAGGTCTCCTCTGTCACTTTTATCAAGACCATTTTCAGGTCAGACAGTGGCATGAAGAGTCGCCAAGGTTTGCCTTAAGGACCTACAACCAAGTATTGCATGGCACTGCGAGAGTACATTCAAGCTTTTGTTCTTCATGCATCATGTATTCCATCCTCTGGAGAAAGATGCACACCAGTCATCCAGTAGCTACACAAGAATACCATTAACTACAATGGATTCCCTAAACCACAGCCATTTTAAAACCCAGAATATGCCTCGCTGCAGGCTAATGCTTAAACTTATTCGGCTAACCATCACAAACTGTAAAGGTGATCACCTCCGAATGTTGAACCTTAAGCAACTTGTGTTGATAACTGAACACACTGTGACTGTGATATTTAAATGTCATAATATTGTGAATATGTACTTACTGTTATGTTTGAAAACTCGAATGGTTGCGGCCGACAACCTAGCTCCCAGGATAAGGGACGTGTGATTTAGCTCATCGCTCAGGATCAGACAGCCCTGGAAACAAAGCATATGTTACTGCATGGCTCTGAACACATTACGAAGCAGGAATCTAAAGCAGGAATCCATCAATAACATGTTGTGTGAAATAATAATGTGAGGGTCATACAAAACACGATCACAAACAGTCAAGCGTTATTTATATAGCACCTTTAAAAACACTGTTTACAGTTAAAACACTGTTTACAGTGTTTTACAGAAAGTCATACTAAATACCATACAATAATATAAAGAGTAAAAATAAAAGGGTTGCACTTTATTTTACAGTAGTACGTGCACTTATGTGCACTTACCTAAGAAAGTACTGGTTCTACGTCAGAATGTCGGCTCATTACTGGCTAGCTCCTACGTCAGCATCACATGCATGCGTCAAGGTGCTCACATGACCAGCGTCGGCCAATGGTGAACCTACATTCTGACGTAGAACCCGGAAGCGCTGCACTGTTTACACTACGTCAACAGCGTAGGAGAACGACGTGGAAGAGAAGAGATTGTTGAATAATGTCGTTATTTTTGCGCAAAAAAGTATTCTCTTAAGGGTACATATGCTTTTAAATCGTTCCTTTATACATATAAAACATACATTGGTGGTCTATATAAAGCAGAACTGCAATGCTTGGGTCTGAATTCCTCATTATTATAGCTCCACAGGCCCCTTTTCTGATGTGCGTCTGAGAGCAACTCGTTTTGGTGCGGTCTCTTTAAATGCAAGTGAGACACTTCATACCCCGCCCCCTCTCCAGCTCGCAGAGGTGACACTCGGTTCAACTCCACCCCGTTCGGCCATTTTTGTAGTTTGATAGCAGAGATAGGATTATCTAGCGGCACAGAAACGTTTTATTCACATGTTATTAACAAAATGTCAACAACGGAAGACTTGTCCATCAAGCCTTACATGTTCGATCCAGAGTCGGACCCGGAGCGAGATGGAAATGAAGACGACGAACCTGCACTTTTGACATGAGGTAGAGTTTTCATAGAAAGCTGTGTCTGAGCACATCTGGGGTTTTGTTTGACAGCCTTTGACAGCAAATGTTGGTTTAGCCCTCTAAATAAAGTGAAAGTCGATTATCTCTCTTGCACACTATCAAGACAAATGACTACGGCCTAATTTTACCACTAAAAATCTGTATTGAAAATATGCTATGTTTAGAAAAGCATCAGAAAACACAGCAGCTAAATGACCATTGTCATGATGAAACTCAACAACAGTAATACTGCTACAGACGTGTACTTAAAAAAAAAGAAAAAGAAAGACAAAGGTAACTTACTGCTAAACCATGACAACCATGTTGAAACAATCTCCATTGTTAAAAGCGCTATATAAATGAAGATGACTTGACTTGACTTGACATGTGTTTTAAGAAAGTAAAGTACTTTATTTTTTATTAACGTTATTTACAGCTTACCGAAGTGCTCTGTTCGTCGTCTCCAAAGATAGAAGGAATTGACCCCTCAATCAGACGAAGTCTGTCGGCAAATCCTTCTATATACTGGCGGAGGTTGCTGAAGTAACGTTAGTTAACTTATCCTTGTGCTTCGCGCACACAAAAATGACTTTACCCACAGATGTGGGTACATTTCCGTGAAAAATAAAACTCAACCAGACACTTCGAAGAGGTTCTGGTGCTGGGAGACGGTGTAATGAAGCGTGTGGGTTACTACATCCAACAACCGAACATTTTGATTTACCCTCTCGTAACTTCTGCATTCTTGAGCTTGGACTACAAAATCACAGCGAGAAATAATAATGGCGGATTGCTCGAAGTGTTGGGCCGGGAGTCGATGTCCTTATTTGGCAGTTCCGCTGCAAATACTGTGATAGTTCAAAAAACGTCATAGATAATAGAAAAATCGGAACAGGTTGAAAAATATGACCAAAACAGAATATAAAGATATCAACGAAGCACCCGAAGAGACTAATTTCAAATTTTCTGTACTTATAAACACTCCAAATACACACAAAACTGCATTTACGAGCTAAAAAAGTGGATTTAGCATGATATGTCCCCTTTAAGATCGAACCACTTTAGTCACATGGACTATTTTAACTATGTATTTACTACCTCTCTGGGCCTTGAAAGTTGCAATGACTTTGCTGCCTGTGGGTGGTTAAGAATTTAACCTCTCAGATTTCATCAAAAAGATCTTCATGTGTGTTCCAAAGATAACCGAAGGTCTTACAGGTTTGGAACGACATGAGGGTGAGTAATTGATGACAGAATTTTCATTTTTGGATAACTAACTGTTTAAAGTTAGGTTTAGGGGTAGGTTCAGGCTAAGTACTTAGTTATTACCCAGTTATTGTAATAACTATAATAGGTTTATAGTATGTACATGGGGAACAGGACTGTAAAATAAAGTGATACCAATCAAATAATAAAATAGAACTTGAAAATAATAAAATGCAAAAAAACATGGCAGATCACTCTCTCCATAGTATTCTTGCGTGCACGTATTATACAATACTTTTTTTATTTTTTTTATTTTTTTATCTATTTTTATTATCTTCTCTCTCTCCTGTTCTGTCATTGAATCTTAATTGGTAATTATTTTGAGCTCATTTAAATATAATCCTGCCCCAGATAGGGAATGATCTGTCTGGACATTGGTCACCCGAGAGGTGGTTCTTACACATATAATAGTAAAAAAAAACCTTTTAAGGAGAGAAAATAATTAAAAGTCCATCCTTATATTTTGTCAACAAAGAAGACATGCAATGACGTCTGGGAACACAACTGAATAATGACTTAAATCAGTTGAGTTACATTTATGCATTTGAAAGACACTTTTATCCAAAGCATCTAAGGGACCATTCACAAAGAACACGTTTTTCCAATTACAAACGTGAGACACAGGTCAGTGGAAAGATAAAAAGAAACGTCAGCTCTTGAGATGCGCATTCCCCCCCAAAACGTTTAACTTCTTTTAACTTGAGACACGAACACAATGGTTATACGCGTCTTGTCTAGTAGTGCATGTTTACATAGAACAACAATGGAAAAGCAGCACAGTGGAATGCAAACATGCGTTCTGTGTGAATGGACCATTACAGGGCATTCTATCACTGAGCATGTTCGCTGGGAATCGAACCCCAGCCTTGGTGTTGCTAGCTGTCGGCAGCTTTACCAACTATGGGAAGCAGTTCATTTAAATGAACCTTCAGGAAAAAAAAAAAAGGTTTTGTTCAAATGAATTGAACTTTTTAACATTCAGATCTTTTGTTGTGAACTGGATGACGAATTCTTAATATCAGAAGAGCCTGGCCTGATTCAACAATGGTTGATGTCATCTCCTCTTCAACTTGAGAGGCCTTGAACGGACACCTCCTCCAGAAGGGACAAGTTGTTGGACTCACTGCTTCACCAATACCTCAAGACTGCAACATACATAATGAGGACTTTCTTAAGTGAAGAACATCCCCCACAGCACAATCCTTAAGAAAGTCCCCCAGCCCTCTGGATCACATCCAGATCCTGAGGTCTTCTCATCTGAGCTGGTTATGACGACCACATCATTGGGCCCAGTATAAACAACCCCTAATGAGACGCCCTAAACAAACAGTGTCAGTTCTAACTGTGCTTGTTTATCTGATTGAGCATCATTTTTAACAAGGGGTTTGTTTAGTGTGCTGGTTCATTGGGTTATTCTGTAGTGCGTGAACAACTCTTTATTGTGGCAATTAATAGCAGGCGCCCTGAGATAATGGATTAATATACAACACTTGTGAGCTCACTTCAGCAGATAAAATTGAGTGATTTAAGACAGATGTAAAAAATAAAGAGGCACCGTTAAGGATTAATTTTTAAACGCTGACCTTTCCGACTAGAGTTGGAATGTTCATGGAATTGGTGGCGAAACCCATTCCAAACGCCATGGCAGACTCCACACCCAAGAATTCAGCCACATGTCGCTCCAGTTTCTCATGGATGCTGAAGTTGCCTATAAAAAAAGATAATGAAAAGTTTACTTTTATGAAAATCAGTTTACAAAATTCTCCTTGGTGACTTGTCTCTTTTCTTTGTACAATAAATGGGAACAGAAAATGTCACAGGCCAGAGCACCACAGCTCAACATGTCAGCAACACATGTGCTGACCACTTTCTTTAACCACAAGACCAGAGAAAGTGAAGAAAAACTGAGAGACTGACTCTGCTTGCGATTATCAATAACTTGAAGATCTGAACAAATAAAATCCAAGGCAACAACTCTCCATGTCCACTACAGAAGGTATTCAGGACCATGAACAACAGGAAGTGTTGAAAGCATTCTGAAAGGACAAAAGAACAACAGTAGAAGTCTGCTCTCATCCATGTCCCTTGGATGTAAAATTACATTAATAAAAAAAAAAAAAAAAAAAAAAAAAAACTTTTCTTTTTTTTGTAAAACCACAGACATACAATTTAAGAATTTATTAGACCACAGTCTTTCCCGGTAAGATTAGGCATTCTACCGCTTTGGAGGAAAATAGTTTAGAAATTTCAGCATGTCTTCTCCAGCTTTTCTAGTTTTAGAGGCTCAGAGAGTGCCAGCATAGGGGAAACAAACATACTAAACAAATACTCAACAATACTACCATGATGTTAAGACAAAAACAATCAAAATATCTGATACTATGAGATAAAAATGTGACCCATGCCTCATATGTAATATATATATATATATATATGCTATAGATGTGCCATAAATCTCTAAAGTGTTCTTTTTTATTACTACTGCAGAATGTCTTTTGAAGTAATAAACAGGCCTTGATTAGTTAGACGTTTTTACACCAGTACTAGGAAAAACTCAGAATTTAAGTGTTCACCCAAAAATTGTATTCTGTTATTATTAATCACTTTCATTTTGTTCCGACCCTGTATGACTTTCTTTATTTTGTAGAACACATAAGATATTTTGAAAAATGTTGGTAACCAAACAGTTTTGATGGCTGTATTGACAAAAAACACACACAAAATATCTTCTTTTATGTTCCACAGTCATACAGTTTAAGAAAAACATGATGGTGAGTAAACGAATGGGGTAAATGAGGGTGAATTTTGATTTTTGGGTGAACTATCCCTTTAAACTCATTAGTGGGAATTTGAATTGATTTGTTGTCCAAATGGAATTTGAATGGATGTAACAGGAAGAGGAATTTACTGACTGATATATCAATACCATCTAATGTTTCTGGAAATCCCCCATATGTTGTCTGTATAATTATGGTTGTGTGTTTCAAACAAAATATATTATAAACTAATAACTATACTTACAGCAATTTAGTTGAACTTCCTTAAATTTAAATTCGAATAACAGGTCTGCATCCAGTTTGCGGTCTTTAAAATTCAATTTAAAGTTCTGGAATGTTATTAGAAAGTAAATTACATTATTCATTCAAATCTAAATGCACAACCATGCAGACATACATACAATACAAATTAAAGAATTTAAAAACACCACTATACTCATGTGGGCAATTGGAGTCTGGCTCCCATCATTTTCTGCTACCATGGACCCCTCTCACACACCAAAGTGGCAAAAAGACCATAAAGGTATTCGGGCTACAGATATTTCCTACCGAATAAGACAGCAGTCAAGAGTGAATGCACAACACTCAGTGTTGGTCTGTGAATAAATACCTCTCTTTTTACATGATTCCTTTGGAGAGCTTTGACTTTGAGAGCTTTGAGAGCTAAAACACCATTGATTACTCTGATCATTCCCTCTCACGGCAGCAGCTGAAGCGTGATGGGTTTGATTAAACCTGAATCAGGTCCAGGGTGGCTAAACTGCACTTCAGTGATAACTGAGAAGCTCGCTCAATACAGAGGAAACACATAGGGGTTTTGACTTGTAACTGGAGTATTGTAGTAGTCTAATGAAGTGAGAAATGAGAGCGAGACCCATGAAGATCTCATTCACCTGCTGGGAGTGTATACACAAGCAGAAACTGCCCATAAAACAGCAAGTTCTCAACCTTAACCTAATTTAATTTAAATGGATGGGAACAGCTCTGAAAACAGAGATATGTTCAGGGTTAAATACAAATTAAGCTCGGTCAACATTATCTGTGGGCACAGACTACCACAGAAAATCATGTTTATGGTAATATTTACAGTGAAAGTTTATGGGTCAAGGAACTGCACCAGAATAATACATATACACAAAGAGTAAAGCATAACATTTTCCCCATTGCACGTTAAGCAGTTTGCAATGAACAAATCAAACAAAAGTAATTGAAATAGCTCAACACCGCAAATGTTCCAAGTGGTTTTCCCAAATTCAACTGAAAATGCAACTTTTAATGACTTCTGCAGTCTCAAAATTATTTAACCCCTTCATGGCATGCATCTTTAGTACTTAGTGGAACACCCTTTTGCTGTTATGACCTTATCTTAGCCCATTCCTCATGAGCAATGGCTTCCAGTTCAGTAATATTCTTGGGTTTGCGTGCTGCAACAGCCTCAAATCCCACCAGAGATTTTCTATGGGGTTCAATTCAGATGACTGTGATGGCCCCAGGTCTTCTTCTGCAACCAAGCCTTGGTGGAATTTGAGGTATGCTTGGGATAATTGTCCTGTTGGAAGGTCCAATGACACCCAAGCTTCAGACAAAACATGTGTTGTCTCAAGCGCACCTGATGCAACTAATCAAGGGCTTCATTAGTTGCACCAGGTGTGCTTGAGACAACACCTGTTTTGTAGATGTGTGCTGTTGTGAGGATTCTATTCAGGGGGTTGAATAATTTTGAGACTGCAGAACTCATTAAACGTTTGGGGAAACATTTGTTGTGTTGAGCTATTTTAATTGTTTGATGTGTTCATTTACAAACCGCTGAAAGTCTGTGAATTTTGCTAATAAGCCTAATTTGCAATGGGGGTTGAATAATTTTGATCAACTGTAATTTCAAGCTTCACTTTTTTTTTTTCATAGACTTCTATTGCAAAAGCTATTTTTGTTTGTTTTTAAAAACAGAGGGACCAGCCAAATTATTTTCTGCAATAATCGAAAGCACACCTAAAGCTTAACTTGTTTAAAATGTGCAAAATTCATTTAAACACTGGTGCTATGAACTGTTCTGGGCTCAATTCATACTAAATGATTTAAAAAAAAAAAAAATAGAAAATAGATTAATATTTCAAGTAGCTCCAATAAGACAAAAAAGGATGTAGTTCAATGAAAAAATCTGGTTTATGAGCTCCTTAAAGGTGCTATATGGAACTTTTCTTCTAAAATGAATCCTTTTTTTATTGCCTGTGTGTGAAGGGGTTGTAATCACACATTACAATGATCCACTTGTCGGGTTTTGCTATTACCTCTGAAGGCCAGTATTCCTATTTCTATGTGAAGTCTCCAGGTCGGATACAGTCTATGCGACGGCACTGCAGCTGACGACATGGAGTCTGATAACACCAAAAAACGACCTGCCTCCAGCACAACACAGACTCCAACACAAACTCCACATTAATATAAAAAATAAAACAAAAATGTATCTGCTGAAGCTCGTCAGGCCAAACGTGAATCGGATCGACTGAGGACGAAAACACGGATCAACATCGGCAGAGCGTTTGAATTATGGAGAGACCTCCGCTATTTTTATTGTGATAAATTACAAGTTTTCAGATATGCTGAAATAAATAATGGTAAACTGTAATGAAATAGCAAGGTAAACTACAACATACATGAGATATGAAATGAATACAAAAGACTGTTCCAGGATTACAAAAAGTAGGTGCTTTAGGATGTAACTTTTATTTTATGTACTAGATCTACTGTCTAACATCACTCATCCCACTACTATCATATTGTTTATAATACACATTTCCAGACACGTTCAGTACAGTAATGTTACTTCCTACTGTCTTACTGTTACACTGAAATTGTTCAGTCTAGTCACTAACCGTTTTCTTTATCATATACATTCATCTATGTTGACATTGCTGCCTGATTGTGAAAGACACGAATAGTTAGTGAAATGCCTTATGCTAACACCACATGTCGGCTAAATGCAGTCAATGTAACGTTATCATGGTACGAGCATGGAGCATTAGTTCAACGTCAAGCTGATAAAAGTAGCCTATTATTGTAACGTTGCAGTGGGACTTTACATGAGTTTCCAGCATGTTGTGTGATGTTTTCTCCGGTGTGTTGAAAGTCTCAGTGTGGCCGTGTACCATGAGTGCTCGCTCTTGTGTTCGAGCACGCGCAAGAGCACGAGCGCTCTTGTAAAAATTGGTTGCAATCTGAAACATCACCGATAGAGGCCGCTAAAAAATTCATATAGCACCTTTAAGCGCACTGGAGAAAGACAACTTTTGTCTCATAAGAAACTAGTGCAGCAAACAACATTTGCCACCCACTGGTTGTACAATGACTGCATCACCATGGTGAAACATTTAGCTCTCATAACAATAAATGTGACACTTAAATAACCCATTATGTTGTCGACTCCTCCATAAGTGCAACGTGCTTCAGTGATATTAGTGTTTGACAACTGTAACTTAATGTTAACTCCTGTACATTTAAATAGTCCATGGTGACTGAAAACACACAAACACACACACACACACACACTAATGAATTCTAAAGACACAGAGACACTCCAGGCAGAATTTCTGTAAATGATTGATGTAGAAGTCTTAAAACCTGTCAGCAAAAACAAACACAGGCCTTATTGATCCTGCAGTTAGAACAAAAACATCCTGTCAACCGTGACCACGTTATAGTGAAACAAAACAAACATTACATGACATCACATAATTATGAGTTAAATAGTAATCAAATGTCACTTGGGAGATACAATGCCACTTTCCAGTACAAATTTAAGGGTAGTAATTCTGTGATTTACTACTTTACTAAGAATTTACTAATTCTTTAATTAGTCAAACCCTTTAAACACTTAGTAAAACAAGATTCATGAATATTTATACTTAATTTTTTAAATATAAACTATTTTTATATACTTTAATAATTTACATATTTCATAAATTTACTTTTAAACAATATATAAGTTAATATTTATTTTATAATTATTTTGAATCACTTGTGATGTAATGTTTGTGAATAAAATAAAGAATTTTAAAATAATCAGTTACTAATTTTTTGTTTAAGAACATTGACTGCAAAATTATTTAAAAATGCCCATCCTTAATATGTAATACATACACATGCGTCTAATTTAGAACTGCATCTTAATAGGGAGTCGTGGGGTTAGTTGTTATTGCTCATTTAACAGAGGGCTAGCAGAAATATATCCCAAAGCAACGACTCTGAGAGATGCAGAAAGAAAGAAATGAATCCCTCAAATGAATAATGAATGATACGAAAAGGACTTTACACACAAATACTCCCATGACTCATGATCACGTGTTCTTTTCGTGTCCGTTTCTGATATTTGGCTCAGATTCACCACAGTAGTACATTCACTGCATAGGACCGAAGATAACATATCTCAGATTACTAACTTCACCTACTTCTACGGATATGAATTATCTGATGAAAAAAATATATCATTAAAAGGGATGTGCATTTTTAGGGAAGTGAAATAAAACAGTGACAACAAATTCCAGTTTAACTGTAATGTGTACTTGACCCAACTGTGCTCATGTGATGTCAGAACAGGTAGCGACAGTCATCAAGCAGCTAAGAAAAATGTCACATATGTAACAAACCAGAATAACCAGATGCAAGAACATCGGTCTAACCAAAGTACTTACAATTGTGCCACTGAACAGGACTAAACTCTAAACCTCCATCAAGGGTTTCCACAGCTTTTTTACCAATGAATTTCCATGAAAGTTGTTTGTGATCACTCAATAGGCATTTTAAAAATAATTTTCCAACCAATTAAATAGAATTCAGCATAAATAAATAAAAATCTATATTCACTACAGACTTTTCAAGCCTGGAAATCACAATTTTAAATCATGCTTTTTCAAATATTACCTTTCATGCAGTGTGTAATATAGGTATTTGTGAATGTAAAACGTCTGCAATGTTTTAAAAAAAATTGTTCATTACAAATACAAAGTTCTGTAATGAAACTCTAGATGGCGCAGGCTAATAGGTCCTTAACTCAAATGCTTGCAATGATATAATTTTCTATAGGGCACAGCTGATCGGTTCCTACCGTATCAATAGCCAATAAACTCGCTGCTCAACCTTTTAATACTTGGTTAGCATTTGCCTTTGCAGTGCAGCACACTTCAGAAACTCTCCATCTTCCCTAGCTCCACCTGTATAGATCTGCTATGGGTAATTCTTGTATGCTAAAGCAGCTTATCTTACTTGTTCACAGCAGCGTGTCATGTATGTAGCAAGTCCCGTACTTGCTCTGCAGCAGCAATAACCAACAGCAGCAGCAGCGTAGCAGATATATTCCACCAAGACCAATTATCTCAACATTGTCAAACCCATTACCATGCCAAACACTCAGACAGTTGTCATGACAGAAATAAAGTTATTGTCTCCTAAAAGAAAGAATCGATTCTGAACTGCTGAAATGAGTCATCAGCAATTCCAGTCTTACTTCCTGTTACATACCTACATAACAATGTAACAAATGTGCTTAATGCCATGGTCTTCATTGGCGCCCCACAAATAACGTCTACTTTGACCCGCCCTCAAACACTGTTGTTGTAGCTGAGGCCTGGAAGAGTTTGGTTTGTGTTGTGACATGTCGAGAAGACGCTATTTTCTGCGCTGCGAATCTACTTTGATGCAGGAATGCGGATGAGGACTCACGCTGGAATTGATACAGAAAAATGACGCCATCGTTACTGTTTGCATCACTGTGTATCAAGTGCTGAGAAAGCTGAAATTCAAATATGCTAACAGACGTTTTGTTTCTGAGATGAGCTTTTTAAGCGGTAGACCAATCACAACAGACTGGACCTATTGACCAATCAGAGCAGAGTAGGCTCTCGGAAAGGAGGGGTTTAGAGAGACTGAATCTTAAAACAAGCCTTTGAGAAATTAGGTGATGTATAATGTATATTATGAGAAAATGTAAGTGTTATTTGACCTTGGATGCATGTAAACCTATAGCAGGAGACCTCCAAAACAAAATGAGTAGCCTTTAAAATAACATAATAGGGGCACTTTAAAATTCCCTGAGATTTTCTGGTTTTCCATCACTGTGGTACAGATAACCATTTCACCTCTTAGCCTTAGTGCAAACAAGCCAGCTTTTAACCTACACAATCTACATGACATTTGTAAAAAATGTCAGCATGGGAATATAGGAAGATCATTATGAGTCATTTGATTTATCATAACATATGTAATAAACCTGTTGAGAGAGATATGAAACAGGTCAGTCAATCATCAACTTACGTTGCAAATTCAAAACAGGTTGGGCCTTTAATAAATCTATTGGTGAAGGAGGAATTCTGTTAACGCTGCTCAAAGCAGGTCAGATCACAAATGGAAAAAATGCTTTTAACGGGTTTATTGTGGCATTTACTAAACCATAATAGTTGCTAAACAACCTACCATGCTTGTTCTTAAAGGGGTCATAGGACGCAAAATTCACTTTTATATGGTGTTTGCATTTAAATGTGTCTTTACAGTGTGTGGTAATCCATTCACTCCTTTTCTTTTAATCCACAAAAAGCCTAAACAGTCTCAATAATCAAGCCGTTTGGATTTTCTGAGCAATATGATGTCATATTGCTCATGCTCCACCCCCGACCGCAGACGGACTGTCCCGTATTAGCATATTTCCTCCCTCAGCCATTTGTATACCGTCTGCCAAGGCAGCACTTTACGTGTCTTGTGTCGACACGCCCCACGGAAGAGAGGGGTGGGGTGAGCAGTTGCTCATTATCATTTAAAGAGACATGCACCGAAACGTGTCGCTGTGAACAGAGCTGTTTTTGAGAAGGTAAAAAGGGTGTTGTTTTACACAACCATTGAGGAATTTTAACCAAAGTATGTTACAAACTTTACATTAAGACCCTAAAGAATCATACCAAATTGTGGAAAATGGGCATCAGATGACCCCCTTTAAGAAAACAATGTTGGATGCTATAGGTGACCTGTTTCTGAGATACGTTTAGTTTGTGGTGTAACCACACAAATACCTAGTTCCTGTCTTGTGCTGCAGACGCCCACCCCATACTGTCTGGTCACCTCTGCTACGGTTTTCAGGAAGTCAACATTGTTTTCAGCGAAACCCAGATAGTTGTAGGAGCCCATGTTTATGACGTTCTCAATGGTTCTCCCTGTTAACCTGACAGAGAAGAAACACATCAACCAAACCGTTATTGATATTGATTTATCCTGACTAGCCTGTACATAGATCATTCTTGTTCTAGGGTAGAACTAATCAGTGGGTATAATATAAAAGAACTTTGTGCAATATAAAGCAGCAGTTCAAGTTAGGGCGGCCATTGAAAGAAACAATAAATAACATGAGCTGAAATTACAGAACAAAATGAGGAAAAAGGTCCAAAAATCATATAACTGTAACTTAATATTTTTCTCCTCTGATGAAATGTATTAAAATGTTGATATAATGTTTTTAAAATAAATCTCTTATACTCATCAATGCATTTATCTGATCCAAAATACAGTAAAAAAAAAGGAGTAATATTTTGAAATATTATTACAATTTCAAATAAGTGGTTTGTAATATACATTAAAATGTCATTTATTCCTGTGATGTGAACGCTGAATTTTCACCAGCCATTACCATCTTCAGTGTCACATGATCCTTCACAAATCATTCTAATATGCTGATTTGCTGCTCAAAAGACATTTCTTAATATTCTTAATAATTTTTTTTCAGGATTCTTTGATGAACAGAAAGTTTAAAAGAACACCATTTATTTGTTTTTCTTGTAACAACTTAAAAGTTTTACTGTCCCCTTTTATCAATTTAATGCATTCTTGCTGAATAAAAGCATGAATTTCTTAAAAAATATATATATATTTTTTAATGGTAGGACTATAATATCATATTTAAATATATTTATTTCTGGATAAAAATACCATATTGTACTAGTATGAATGAAAAAACAGGTTTATGCTGGTTAGTGCTGGTGCGGTCAAAAAATGCATGGGCTTTCTGGTGAATTTGGTAAACCAGTTTTGCTGGTTAAGCTAGTTAGTAAGACTTGACAATCAACACCTTGTACCAGGAACATCCTGCTTTTTTCAACAGTTATAAGGCTTGTTTTATGCAAAGCATAGATTTACCTAAAAGTCCAATTGTAATCATCCGTTACCCTTTCCATGAGATCAAAAACCGGACCGGGTAAACTGCATATGGGCCGGTTCCAGTTGTCTCTGACTCTCATGTACATGTTCCGGGTGTAGAAGTTTTCAAAATCTTGGTAAAGTGGAACAAAGTCCTGTAATACAAGAAATCAATTACAACATAACAACCAGAAGCACTTTTAACACGAACCTAACATCAGTATTTCATGCTTCCCTTCCGCAATATGCTCTATTCATTAAAAAAGAAGAGGGACAGGTGACCCAAGATCAGCCATAAAAAGACACTGTTTACATGTGGGTAGTTACAACCGGGTGAATGTTTCAAAACCATCTGCTCTGTGAGTATCAGAGTCCTGAGAGACTCACCCACATCTTGTCGTTAAGTAAACTCTGCCAAAGAACAAAGAAGAGGCTATGCAGACTCCTCATTGTCCTGCCTTTATTATGTTAAGAATCCTAGTTATGGAGATAGTTAAGACAGCAGAAAATAACAAAGCCACACCAAACTGCAGTCTGACTTTTACAAGTTTTTTTGCATAAGCTTTTGACTGCCACTCAAGTTTTTCTGGTCACCGAGGAGGTGTCTGATCTCCGCCCAGCGTTTTAGATCACACATTCAAAGCTCAAACAAAAACTGCACTCTTATTGATTCTTATAGCCATTTTTTGTTTGTTCTCATTTAACACAAAGCACAGTTTAAAACTTTGCTGGTGTGTGACTCAAACGACAATATAGAAACCTCTGTTAAACAGGAAAAGGGAGAATGGAAATGCTGTGAGATTATGTAAATTTTGCTCTTAAATGCTAATGGAGTGTATGGGCCAACATATCAAGCACACTCTGTGAAATGTGCAGAAACCTGTTCTTTCCGGTTAATATATTTATTTTCATTGGATATTAATGGCAAAAGGTGGTGCTGCAGCATTCTTACACTGAAATATCTGTTGCACTCACTTCTTACTGATTTATATTTGTACACTTTAAGATTACAGCTATCTTAGAAGATTTAGACAGTGCCAATTTGGCTGGAGTGATTCACGCTGATCATGGAAAACATGGCAAGCACAGAACAAAATATTCCCAATGTGTTCACTGTTCACTCATACCAATATAACACTATTTTACTAAAGGTGTGACTCCCTCTGAAAGCTTACCGTTTTCATGATCTTGCCAACTAAATTAAAAAAAAACTCAATTTATGCCTTTTTAATAATCACATCTAATGTAATACCACAAGCTTTGAGTGAGAAATGTGCACAAAAGATGCATCTTTTCTCAACGGACAGACTGAGAGCGGAAATAATGAAGTCACGGTCCTCCGGGGTTTAATTGCGTCATTAACCTCCCCAGCATCACCTCACACATATCATGGAGATTTTCCATAGTGAACAGTGTGTAAATCAAATGACATGAAAGAAAACACTTTGTGTTTGAGAATAATTTGTCTTGCCTATACTCATCTTTTTACAGTTATTTTTTTTATGTTAAGTTTGCAACTCTCAGAACATTTGCCCTTTAGACACATAGAAAGATGTTATTCTAATCCTAAAATAAGTCCTACCAACTCAGTATTAGGTTTAGCCTACATGAGGTTATGCTAAATATAATAATAATAATAATAATAATAAAGATTCTCTTCCCTTTGTGTATGAAAACTAGACAAACTCTACATGGTGTTTACTGTGCAAAATGTATTAGATGAGCAAACCTACCTTTTGCTCTTCTCTCTCCTGGGCCTGATGGCATTTTTCTAATCCAATAGCTCTTAGTAAGTCTCTGAAATAGCCAAACAGGATGACAATTCCATAGCCCATGTATGTCAGGACAGCCACATACATGGGGGCCTCCTCGAATGAATCTTCACCCCTATCTAGAGGCTGATGAAAACCGTTTGCCGTGCCATTTTTATGCACCTACAATATCACAGGTTAACAAAACATTATAATATAGTTACTATTGTTTTAATGGCACTTTAATTTAGCAGACAAATGATATTCAAAGATATACTACACAGTCCAATTAACATAAGTCAATAATAAATGTAATTTCTAAGTGTGCTTAAGCCATATCTTGCATAACCAATTATTAACTTTTAATGACAAATACCATAGTTTGTTTTTAGAAACCATATAGTTCAACTGTAAAAATTGTTAGTAATCACATTCACAGGCAAAACCATGGTGGCTTCTCTCTTAAAGGGATAGTTCACTCAAAAATGAAAATGCTGTCATCATTACTCACCCTAAAGTTCCAAACCTGTATGAGTTTTTCTCTTCCTCTGAACACAAAGGAAGATATTTTGAAGAATGTCTGTAACCAAACAGTTGTTGGGCCCCTTTGACTTCCATAGTATTTTCTTCCTCCATACTATGTCAGTCAGTGGGGTCCCAACAAATGTTTTTGTTACCAATATTCTTCAAAATATCTAGCCTACATTTGTGTTCAGCAGAAGAAAGAAATTCATACAGGTGTGGAACAACCAGGGGCGGCCTTACCTATGTTTCACCCATTTCAATTGAAACAGGCCCCGCCCTCCAAGGGGGGCCCCAACAGACCAGCAAAATCCCATTCATTTTCTCCATAGGATATTGATTTTCAGCCATAATGTCTAAACCATTCAAGGTAGATTGACCACAAGGTTGTGAAACGAAAGTTTCTGCTCCTATAAAAGCCACAAGCTACGAAATCAACCTTGTTATTTCCAAAACACTGACGTCTCTGATTAACTCGCGGTTTCCATGGCGACGTTTACGGCTTAAGCGATCTGTAGTATAATATCGGTAGTTTATGTATTTATACCTTTGCCTTTTTTGCCGTTAGGTTAAAATGTTATTTTGAGCAGAAAAAGAATTTCAAGAGGAAATGAAATGTGCATATGCTGAAAAACGAAAGATATCGGACAACAAAAGAAAAGCTTTCTTCAGTCTACTAAAAGTGAAGTTTCTATAATTGTATATAGTTTTAATCAAATAAGGTTGGATTATTTATATGTTGAGCTGCCTGTTCATGAAGCTGAAAGTGCACGTAATAAAATAATATACCATTGATGCAAACTAACAGGAATCCTTGCTTTTTATGCTCTATTATGTTTATGTTTTATGTGGGTAGGGCCCCATATTAGTTATTAAAGTTATTGAGTAGCCTAAATGATGACATAATTTCCATTTTTGGTGAACTATCCCTTTAAGAGAGAAGCCACCATGTTTTTGCCTGTGGTTAGGTAACTAACACAATTTTAACAGTTAAACTATATGGTTACTATTCTAATTTACATAAGAGTAAACATTTATTTCATTACCAGAAGCGCCCATGAACTTTAAGCATATTTTAGTGATGACTCAAAAACGAATTGGTGAATCGTTCTTCTGAAATGATTAAATTAAACGAACCGATTCGGTCAAATGAATCGGACCTCCCAGTCCCAATTGAAATCCCATGCTAAGAAATGAAAAGGTATGTCATGTTGAACATGTTGTAGAAAAGTAGCAGCGTTGTCTGTAATATCAACATTTTTAAATATTATCCCTGGTAGCCTACCCATTTAACTTTATTTTTTTAAAAGAACACTTTAACTTGACGTGTTTTACGATGAAATGCAGTTTGACATACCTTTTCATTTCTGTGATATCCATTCTTCAAACTGTTGTTTTCCTGTTGTTTCTGGTCACAATGAGACTTCAGGGTTCCGTTGTGTGGATAATGTTCATCTGTTCGCATCATGTTTGCTAAGCGTCAACGCTAAATAATAAATTAGGCTATACTATTGAACTTCTCTGTTCCTCAGTTTAGAGAAGTGTGTGTGTGTCCGTTGAAGTGTAATTCCCTGCTGTGAGTTCACCATCCGACTTCATGCTCAAATGACTTTGATTTAAGTACACACAACTTTGGACCAGGAAGTATTCACGGACATCAGAGGAACGACGCGACGCGACGCGACTGGGCGCTCCCTTTGACAGCTTATGGAAGAGCTCCAGCTTTGAACAGTGAAGACACGATGGTATTCAAACTTAGAGACAGTCAGTTATGAATCTGCGTCTACGTGTGTTTTACAGTAGGCTAAATTAAAAGTAAAAGCAAAATTGCTGCAGCCACTAAAACCAAGTTGTCAGTGGTAAAAGAAACACGTACTGCAAGGTGAAACATGTTGCGCAATATGCAAATGATGTCTATTATCTAACAGCTTGAAACTAGTTTACTTAGTTTAAATAGTTTTCACTAACCATAATTTAACTACTAAGACCAAGTAACCAAAGATGGAGGACGGGCCTCTGCCAGGGTCCTCGATCTGAGAAGCCCCTCAGAAACGAGGCACTATGTATTGTCATTGTATCAATGCATTCAAATTGTGTTTTTTTATTTTTTTATTATAACCATCCATCCTTAATACTGACCACATGTAAAGTCATGGACGGCTCCTCGTTACTATAGTTACATCAATGTGACTGTATTACAGTGTTTAAAAACTGGAGCAAACATTTGTCTACATTATGTAACTATAAGAAATGCATATGGAGTGCAAACCTACCTTTTGCTCTTCTCTCTCCTGGGCCTGATGGCACTTCTCTTAATCAACAGCTCGCAAGATGTATTTGAAAAACTTTGTAACTGTGATATAAAACACTATTATGAAAAAAATACACTTTATTTTCCATCATCTTCATATATTTAGTATAGTAGACTACAATTGTTTTGTTCAGATACAATGGGTAACGTATGGCACATTTTTATAAGGCGCACCAGTGTTATTTTAGTATTATTTATATAGGCTACTATTATGGTATTTATCAAAATGTTCACTTTTATTTTTATATTTTCGTTTTTTAATTGTCGTTTTGATACATTTTTTTTTACATTTGTATTAGTTGTTTATAATTCGATGACACTTTAATATTTATTTCAATTCGAGTTTTAATAATTAAATGTAGGCCTACCATTTCAGTTACTTGGCAACATTTCATAATTTAAGTTGTTTAAGTTACTGTTATATTTAGTTTATTTATATTAAATAAGCAAAAATGATTCTTACTAGTTTTAGTTAACAATAACAACTGAGGTGGTCTGCATGTGGTTTGATTTTTATCAATAAGGTATGCTACATTAAGCACAAAGTATTTTTTATGTTCCATTACATTCTTAATATAAATTATTCTTACATTGCAGTTTAGGCCTTAAAACAGAAGTCTCACACTTTTCTTCCCGGTCTCAAAGTTAAGCTATCTTTGAATTTATTTTTGCTGCCCTCTGCATATTTTCCATCCCAACTACATTCAGGAGAATGTGGGAAGTCTTCCACAGAACAAGAAGTCATTGTGATTAAATGAAGAATTCTGAAGCCATAGGCCTACTTTCATTCCCTTGCTTTTTCAACGGGGTGTTCTTGCATGGGGAGTAGAGAAACAAAACCTGAGTGAGTGAATGGGCGAAACATATCTATCTAGATGGAACTGAAGAGAGAATGAGAGTGGCGACGTGTGGCACTGGTAGCAGCCTGCAGCTGTCTGAACTAATGCTGGACTAACCGTGGAAATGTCACAACTAATTAACCACAGATTCCCTGTCTTGCGCTCTCCTTCTCAATAAACCCTGAACTGTCCCCTCTGTCCACCTCTATCCCTCATTTCACCACATCCACTGAGCTTCCCAATCCTCTGCCTGTGACTTGCTAAGGGAGCTGTGCTAGCCTAGATCTGTCAAGCATCATTAGCTTTATTAATATTAGCACTCATTATTTATCTCATATTTGCATGGCAGCTCCCTTTAGACCTTCTAATGACTTATCAGATTGTTGTTTTATCACGTTTGTTATCACCTCATGTATTTAACATCTTATTAAAGGTGATATTTTTATTTTAAAATACTAGCGTTAGGTGAACGCTGGGTTTATCAAGCTAATTTCAATATCAAACAGTGTTATGCGTGCGTGCAGTGATATAATTGCTAATAAATCCGTTTTTAACTTGAGAAAATACCGTATTACCGTACATTACACTGACCTGAGAAATGTTTTTAAGTCATGCGTTTCTGTCATGTGATTGTTTACAAACGCCCGATTCGCGAATGGATCAATATTTTGAGTCGGTTCTTTTTTTTAGCAATCTCGTGTCTGTCGCTGAATTCGGAACAGCATACTAGTATACTACCTGTACTACCTTTATCATATATTTCTGTGTCAGAAATAGAGGAGTAGTATGCAGTTCTGAAACAGAACTAAGTTACCAATGACTGATTCTTGAATGAATGTAGTGTATTCTATTCGTCCATTGTGGTTGGCAAAACTGGAACAATTCAGCAAGCATGTGACTGTGAGTATTATCAGCTCACTCACGTAGACTACTTAATCGGAGCGGTCGCTCACTCTGTAAAACTTTACATGTTAAAACATGATTTACGGCACAGTGAGCAAAAATTAATTACCGATTCATTGCAATTTAATTTAACAAAAACCTTAAAATTAAACATCTGAAACCAAATCTTCAATTGTACATCGTTTGTCAGCGATGAAGAATATCCTGCACGTGCAACATGTGATGGTAACAAGTAGCCCTACAACTAGGCTAGTTAGTTTGAACACATTCAAACTAACTAGCCTATTAAAACACTGACAGCACTTGTTCTCTTACGAGAGGTTCTCTCGTATTGCGTAAGCTAGCTTACGCTGCGGGAAAGATTCATCTTTGCTGAGATATTGAAGCCAAAAAATTATTTCATAATTTTGTATCCATACACAACGCAGTTCCTCTGCGGCAGACCTAGAGCGGGCTAGCTAGCAGCTCATTGGTTCGCTCAGAGAGAACTGCTTAAGCCTATGGGAGAGCGGGGCTGAACCCGCTTCCAATGAGAGGCGCCCGCGCGCTCATTGCGTCATGACCCGCCAGAATGGGCGTGGCCATGGTGTATATAAGGAGCTCTCCCAGGCTTATATGTTGATTCATTTCATCTTCAGCAAGCTGCACGCTTCTGCTGTTCCTGAGAAAAGCCATCGCCGTCGAAGAAGGCATCCTCTAGCGAGCTCAAGGACCCTGAAGAAGCCGGCCGTCTTCGCCACCTTCAGCCGCCCTGCAAGCTAGGCCATCCGACGATTGTATCCTTTTCTCTATATCTAAAAGAGCCGAGCGTCTTTTTAAAGATGTCTCGTTTTTCCTGCGGCTCTTGCCGCGCTCGTCTCGAGGACGGAGACCGCCATGTCATCTGCGCTCTCTGCTTGGGACTCGAGCATGCAGAACTCGCCCTCGCTGATGGAGGATGCGACTTCTGTGAAAGCCTGCCGTTATCGTCCCTGCGGGCACGACTTCTGGCAGTGAAAACCGCTCCCGCGCCGCCTATTCTCTCGCCGCGTAAAAAGAAACGCCGCTCTCAAAGGCCGCCGGAGCCCCCAGCGGAAACATGCGGGCCGCCGCCGCCGCCTCCCGCTTCCCGCTCTCCCTCCCCGCCCCTGCCGGACATTCAGTTGCCGCCGAGTGGCCGCTCTGTTGTTTCCGATGACGCCGCGGAGGAGAAGGACTCCTGTTCACTGCTCGCTTCTGACAGTGAAGACTGGTCATCTCTCGGATCCGCGAGAGAGTCGACGGGGACCCGCGCCGGGATAGAAGAGGAGCTGATGCGCCTTCTCTTACAGGCCGTCGAACGCCTCGGTCTCGAGTGGTCTCCTCCTCCTCATGCTCGCGCTTACGCCGCCGCCGGTCAGGCCGCCGCTGCGCTTCACTCTATGTCTGTCCTCCAAGTGTTACAGAGCGATATTCTCCGTGAATGGGCCGAAGGCGGTAGAAAAACCCCCCCCGCCGTCACGGATTTGAGAAGTGCTACGGATCTCGCCCTTCGCGCCACTAAAGCCGCCGCACAAGCTCTGGGGAAATGCATGGCCAGCCTTTGTGTTGCTGAGAGACACTTATGGCTCACGCTCGCCGACATGGGAGATTCTGAGCGCGCCGCGTTTCTCAACGCGCCCCTCTCCCCGACGGGCCTGTTTGGATCTGCCGTCACGGGAATCGTCGATCGCTTTTCTGAAGTACAGAAAGCTACTCAGGCGATGAACTTGTTTCTACCCCGCCGCGCTAGCTCTTCAGCGGGCCGCTCTCACGAGCCCTCCGCCAGAGCCCCATCACAGCGCCCCCCTCCGCAGACTCAAACAGCTCAGCGCAGTCAGAGCGGCCGCCCTCGCCCTCGCTCTCGCTCTGACAGCCGCCGCAGACCGCCGCCCCCCCGTGGCCCGCGACCTAAGATCACGCTGAAGCCTGATCATCAGAAGTCTGCCTAACAATGTCAAGAAAACGACGGTGCTCTCCCGCTGCGGCCGGACCGCCGTCAAAGCTTCGCCCTCTGCCAGTCCCCGTTATTTCGCCGACTGCTGTAGTGTTGACCGCCACAAACAAGCCGGTGTCCCAGCCCGCTTGCGAGCGACAAAAAGCCGTTTTTACGGCTACCCAGAGAAATCTCAAAAAGAGAAATTTTGCCAGTTGTGTAGAAAATGTGCCCACAATCATGTGTTCACCCATACACACAAGCATAACATATCCCGTGTCTCTATCAGAGCCCCATCACATGAAACGGGCACAGCCCGCTCTAATATCAGAGAACATAAACACGCCCACGAGCTCGTGCACGTGTCCCCTCTCTGCTCGCTCTGTGTCACGGCCCATAGACTCCTCTCTGAGTGCAAATCCCGTTGCCACACACATTCAAAGCGCGCCCACACACTGTGTCCAGCCCGCTATGTGCAGCAATCAGGGCAATACAGCCATTCGGCCACTAGCCGCATGCTCCAAAGCGTGGGAAGCCATTCCAGGCATTTCCCCGTGGGTGTTAAGCATTATAAAGAACGGCTACCTGCTACAGTTTCGCCGCCGCCCGCCTCGTGCGCGCGCGCAGCTCGAATCTTCTGTCAGCCCGCTGGCCGCCGGCACGCTCCGCTCAGAAATTGCGACGCTGTTGCAAAAGGGCGCGATAGAGAGAGTCCCGCCATCTATGACCGAGTCGGGGTTTTACGGCCGTTATTTTCTGGTT